TTATTTGTGTTAAGTATGCAATTAAACGGTCGTTTTTTATTTTATTGAAAAATTGATAAAAGGAGATTTAAAAATAAGGTAAAAAAAGATATATAATATACGTAGAAATGTTTGAAAGTAATTGAATAACGTGTCTGTTGTACCTGTATACAGTGGAACCTTGATAACTCGAACCTCTATAAGTCGAATTTTCGATAACTCGAAGGAATACCTTGGCCCCTGGCTTCCAATATATGAAATGTGTGATAAATTTTCTCGATAATTCGAATTTCGCTAACTCGAATTTCTCAATAAGTCGAAGTAATTTTAGTTGAATTTTAGCTTATAACTCGAATTTATATAATAAAATATAATTCGTACAATTTCCTATCTCGATAACTCGAAGGTCAAATAACCAAGTACAGTGGAACCTCGATAACTCGAACCTCTATAAATCGAATTTCTCGATAAGTGGAAGTAATTTTAGTTGAATTTTAAAAATAATTTCAATAACTCGAATTTTTTTTGTAGATTCGAGTTATCGAGGTTTTCAATAAGTCGAATTTTCGATAACTCGAATTTTTTTTTCGCCCCCAACCGATTCTAGTTATCGAGGTTCCACTGTACTTAATATTCGAGAAACTACAGCAAACTTTTTTGCTAAAAAAAAATCTGATGCATTGAGCAGGGAACATAAGTGTATTAAAAAGTATATTCTATGAGTATAGAATCAAAATGCTACGAAAAAAAAACTCTTTTGACGTTTTTTGCTCGAAACATTTTTTCTGGTAAATATGTCGTCTATCTAGACACACAAATTAAAAGCACGTGCTGTAGTAAAACCAACGCGTTCTTCGCCGCGCTCAAAATCTAATACGAAACACATAAACAAATTGCTCAATAAAAACGATTTATTTGTAGAAAAAAAAAACATACAAAGCCTATAAAAACACGTAATTACCGCGTGCGCTTGAATATCAATACCGCACGAATTCTAAGCAGAGCGAGTGGGTATTTTCGCTTTATGGGAAAATTGAGTAGCACGCGTATTATAACGTTTGTTGCGTCGGAACGTCGGGTAGGTATATAATTATTAACAATAATAAAAAAATATTATCAACGTTAATTCACAATGCACCCGTGCAAAGTTAATTGGCTTGATAATATCGACAACAAAAATAATAAAGAATGCCGCGTATGCTGTTCGTACTATATACTATACATAGTCCACTCTACTAATTGGTCTCTTCTGTAACAGACGGGTCGAGTAAAACGTCCAATTATATAACGTATTGTAATCAAAAAAAAAAATAATAATAATAATAAAAAATTCGCTGTACACATCAGACAGAGCCAATATTCAAACGCTCGCTATTAATAATAATAAAAACCGAATCGATCATTGTTGAAATAACTTAATAATAAATGCCTGGATATTTGTCAACGCGGACGGGCACGGCAGCATCCACTTTATAGAATAATGTATAGTATTGAAGTACGTATAATATTTATAATAATAATAATTTGACGAATCGGGAACCATCATTATATACATAATGCATATGAATACCACACCCTTGTATACGATTTCGTAATCATTTATTTCTGACCAGGGCCGTATAACACAATACGGGGCGTTTTTTTGTGTATCCAGTGGCGTGGAATTTTAAACGTCAAGGGACGTTGCGCGTAAGAGTGGCGAATGTGTCTTAAAATCATGTTCTCTGCCCAACCGTATAGGAATGTAAAGCCGAATCCAACAGAAAATCAAATTCTAACGGTTCCTCGGCTGAAATACATAAATGTCAAGATTAAATTACTGAATGCGTACTCATATTTTGTTTGTTTGTTTAATCCTGTGAAACGATAACTTTCTCCCGTGCGTTATATTCGTTTGGAGAAAAACTTAAACTCGAATACTATACAAAAATTCGGACGCACTTAACATAATATGGATAGGCCACTGGCGTATGTGAGAAGTTTGCAAGATGTTCTGGATATAAGACTATTTATAGTTGTTGCTTCACGCTAAATACAAAGATAAATCATTGTTATCAAAAAAAAAAAAAAAAACAATTTCAAGAGAAGCTAGATGAGGTTATAGCGTTAATCGTGTTTTTCCCTCTTATAGCTAATAAGAGGTTATTTAGAAACCAATATCTACAAAATTAATTTGAAATGTGTAGTTATTTTTTATTAGGTTTTTCAAATTTTTTAGACATATTGCCCGGAATCTTGAATTTTTTTCGAGCTAAGTTACCGACGGACAATAAAATCAAAAAATCTTTTGAAATATATGGAACGCATTTTCACTATAGGTATTAGCCGAACGTGTTTTTTGAAAATAATACGTATATTAGCAAAACTATTTAACTAAGCTCCTTGAATCAAAATCTCTAACTAAAGATACATTGTCCTGCTTTGTATTTAGGTTGAATTAACCAACAGTTATTAAAAAATAGGTACGTAATTTTGTATGGCATTTTAACACGGCATGATCTTAATTCACAATAAACAGAATAGACGATTAAAGGACAAAAAAAAATATATAGAAGAAAAGTTATTGTTTACTTACGCTGGAATACTCGGTACATAATAATACGATTACAAAGAGAAATTTTTGAAATATTCAATGTTAGCCGATTTTGTACGTTCGTTTTTTTAAACTCCGGAAGGCTTTTAATTAATAAATAAACACACGGCAAAGCAAATTGGAATTTTAATATTTCTCTTCCTTCAGTCCTTTATCGGTGATTGTTTCCAAAGAAACAATAAATAATACATAATATAATTAAATAATAAGTTCACAATTGTATTATTTATGTTCGTTTTGCGAAAATCTGAGGAAAGTATTTCAATTTTTCGAACCACTTTCACTAACTATCCCTAAAGGGTTGTTCGAAGAAAAATATTTATATCGATCCGTAAGTTCCTCGAAATCTAAAATTTCAAACGAACAACAAACAATACATAGGTTTAATTGATACGCTTTTTATTTTATTTTTGTTTTTTTACGTCTTAGGCGTTATCGTTTTGCTTCACTTACAACTATAAAATTAAAATTAACATCGTTGCGCGATGAAATATATAAAATACAAGTTATTTATTTTAATTGTAAGCGTTAATTTATTTTATTATCACTATTTTCTGGCATAGATAATTAAAAAAACAAAACAAAATTAAATATTTATGAGGGAGAGAGATAGAGACGACAGTTGGTAGAAGAACAAACAAGAGACTGGAATTTGAAAACTTATTATTATAATAATAATATTATAGTCGTACAGGACAAGGGCGAAAATGATTATATCTTATACTACACTGACAATTGTTTCAACATTTTTTATTAATAAAAAAAATAAACCTTAGATAAATTATTTGTGTATATTCATAAAAAAAAAATAGTACGATTATTATCTGGTAAGCCGCAATAATATTATTTTAATCTAGAAAAAGTCGAAGTTTTAAGTATTTAAAATACGCAAAGCCTTATAATGGTTATATTTTATAATATTTATTTTTAAATTCGAGATAATGCGCGTTGTCATTTACTGGAATTTCCTAATCTTAACCTAACCTAACTGACTGAAACGTTTTTCTGTTTTCGGGTCCGGGAGGACGATAATAAAACTATGATAACAAGTCAATTAGTCTGTGAGTTTTTTTATGCCGCAAAACATAAGCCTTCGATCACAGATATGAAGTGCTGTAGTCAATTTCGTATGGTTTTCAATACGAGTAAATTCAATTTTGAAAATTGCTAAATGACATATTTTCATAATTGCTAAATGGTTTGAGTCATACAATCATATGACTTTTTTTTCCGGAACCAAAGAAACAAATTATGCGATTCTGAATCGTATCGATTTTGGATTCATCAATCATTATACCAATCGATTATCGAATAATCCAGACGCATCGTATTGTTTTTGAAAATTATCTAAATAAAAAACTGAACGGATCCGAAAACAACCTAACCAAATGTTATTGGTATGTTAATATCATAACACGAAGAGAACTATCGAACAGAAAAAATTGATAATAATAACAACATATATTTTTTCGCGTTGACAATAAGATCAAAGTTATAGAAATATGTCAGGCAAATTTTATTTAATTGATAATGGCGGCGCCGAATGTTACTATAACGCTGTGCAAACAGTTTTGTTGAGTGTATTTTAATATTTTTGATAAATAGATATTCGCGGCGGCCTTAAACTATTTCTCACTGCACAGTCACAAAATAAAAAAAAAAGTGAGTTTTTTTAAAAAGTCTACAAAGATGAACGAATTTTCGACTGTTGGTATGATTACGAAGCACATCGACAAATACAGCACGGCATGGCGCAGTGCTGAGTTAAAAAGATGACTCACGGAATTTACGTGACAAAAACGCAATAATTTGATTAAAACCTAAGTAAAAACTATTGTGAAATGCGCCCTACAAGTTCGCAGAACGGCATAAATGGATTGTTGAATGAAAAATTGAACGTTTATTAAAAAAATAACACAAAATGAAAAATTGAAAATTTTAGTTGAATTGTTGAAACGGATTATCGTTAAAATATTGAAAGTTTTTGTAAAACTTATTGTGCTAGTTGGATTAAACTCAAATCTGAATTCGACGACTTGTTTGAGTTACACGCGTGGGCCAGTTGATTTTGCGGTGTTATCAGCATGCATATTTGTGAAAACTGCACGACACACGACGGGGATGCTGGAACAACACCTTCACAGTTACCTACGATGTAATTAGTTACTTGGTCACTATTTAACTTGCGCCCATGGCCTTAAGTTAATTTTTGTCGTTATTATTTTTTAACGATCATGTCGTACGTACCAATTTTCCCCCCTTATTTTTCGGTCTAAATGACATAAGTATATTATGTATTTTCTAAACAAGCTGTATGCAGTGTATATAGTATACACACATAGTGCAAGTGTATGTGTCTTTAAAATTGTATAAGCTTGTATTGAGAATTATAAAAAGGAGACTTTTAGCTTTCTTTCCCGGAACCGAAGATAATATATCAGCTCGTTTCAACCAACTAATGTTTTACGTAAATTGAATTTTGGCGAATAAAATACAGTGCATGTTCGGTTCTGTGTTGGCATGCCGTACTCAAAAATGAATTTCAAACACTAGGTAGATAACTTCTTAAAAAATAATTAGGCAGCCGCTAAGTAAAATAAAAGAAACACGGACCAATTAATGCTAACGACAAACATAATTGGCTTGTCGCGTGTAAAGTATGTTTTACTTAATTAGCTTTAATTTACTTTAATAGATTTTATATCAAATATACTTGCGTAACCTTACATTAAAAAAAAAAAAAGAAAAAAAAACGTTGATAATATATACCCGGTTATATTCTACACAAGACGATATTATATCGGTTACGATGAAACTGAACGTTTGTGGGTTAGAGCTCGGGTTATAGTAAAAATAGATACCTATCGGATTTAATAAATACGGTTTTAATTAACTCCTTTCAACTATGCTGTATACAATGCTTTTGTATATTATGTAGGCAGTCAGTGACCGCACAACATGAATTCACGTGGGTTTAGGTAAATTCGAACGAATAAAACCCATTATATATGAATGATCGTATTATGCATTTCACGAACTGACAACAAAATATGTTGGTTACCTGATGCATACTATCTGTGTAAATATTAAGTCGTTGCTAATAGAAAACGAAACGTAAAATATTTAATTGCGTCTTCCTCCTCGGAAAAATACTACACTCAGCAAACATCCCTCCCCCCCCCCCGTCTGACAGTGCGAACGTATTATAGGTATACCGAAACAATTTGTACCATTATCAATTGCAATTTTGTACCTTTATTGTAATCGATCAATCAATTACATTTACAGTATATTTGATTGTTATGTCTACACGGAATAATTAAATATAATCGTATTTTAAATGTATTATTTATAATGTGCATTCCAGTTATTTTAATTTAAATTTCAAATGTCGTTTTATGATTATTATGTACAGTATATTTGACTTACGCACATAATGCAAGTATAACGTCTTAATTTTACATTGGATATTGTTAAAAAAAACAATTATTGTATGAATGATTCAAATCATTAATATGATTCAATTTGAAGTAATACATTTTTCTGTGGAATTTTATAATTAAATATCACATGTATAGCTTAGTAAGTACGTAGTGGGATCAAAAAGTTCCTAGAATACTTGAATTGCGGGCCAACGCAGTATCCAAGGGAAGCAGGATTGATATCACTGGATTCTGTGACTTCTTCGAAGTACGTCTGTGTTTTTAGATTCTCTATAACTTTCTTTGTTTCGATGTGACCGATGTTTTCTTAAAATATTTTTTTCGCATTTGGCGATTTTTTTAATAAACCCAAAAGAAAAGTTTTTTTGAGGGGTGGGGGTCGGAAGGATTTTTCCTACTATTTTGTTGACAGAATCTTATTTGGTAGAGGAATGCAACGTTTTACATGACTTTTGCCAACATTGCAACTGAAAAACTGCCGATGTGCCGAGTGAAAGTTTTTCTCGAGAATGTGGACGAAGGTCCAATTTCTGGTTAATCAGGAATTTGTTGGTATAGTTAATCACTAAAAACATTTTGACAATTTATCATAATAATAATCACTACGTGTATAATATTATGTTATCATAAACATGAAAGAATAATCGCCAAATTCGAAAAAAATATTTTAAGAAAACATCAGTCACATCGAAACAAAGATTGTTATAGAGAATCTACAAATACAGATATACTCCGAAGAAGTCACAGAGTCCAGTGATATATCAATCCTACCGCCATTTGGACACTCCGTTGGAGCGTAATTCAAGTTTTCTGGGAACTTTTTGATCCCACTACGTATAGTGGAATGGTAAAGGGAAATTAAACCGTGATTAAAACACGTTAAATTCGAACACATTGAAAACAAGAAATAATTGCATAATATTAATGTGGCCAGGCTTCAAATGACTCAAAAATTATTAGAAAGAATAAAAATATCTAATATGTTAGTGGTGTAGCTATAAGGGATACAAGGGGCTACTGGCTGCTGCTTTAAGCAGGGCTGGATTAGAACCAAGTAACATCAACTTAATTATTTAATTGGGCTGTATTGTCGATAGTACTAATATCATATTATTTTGCAGATTTTATACAAATAAAAATTGAAAATGATAGAAAATAGTTCGTTTTATTGGTTTTCTTTTTCGGATTCCATTCTCGTATACTGTTTGGATGAAATCGATTATGAATTATAGTTCTTATGGTATACTTAGATCTGCATTTTTTAATTGATTTTAATTTTAATTGAAAGCAAAGGATTAATATCCACATAAAATCTCCATGATTTGCATCGTGAGAAGAATTCAAAATGAAAATGTCCTGGGAAAAAAATCGACTAAACAGCCTTAACGCAAAACCCGAACTTGTCTCAAGTACTTAAATCCCTAGCTATACTGCCGTTTGATACCGCATAATACCTAAAAATGGGAAAAACAGTAAAAAATGTCAAATAAATTGTTCATTCGAAGAACAACGCCTATTTGTTACACTAAATACGTATACTATCGGAATCCATTGCCTTATGAAGCTTTAAGAAAAATAAAATGAAACGCATTTTGCATATAAATCCGAGCCTCGATAGTTAATTTGTATCTAATTTTTATATTATAATACCGACAAAAAAAAAAATGTACTAAAATTATGTTTTTACCTAAGATCTTGTATACGTGTTTTTCCACGTGATTTTCGCAAATTCATATAGGCACCTGACCACTATATTATTATACGTTCGATTTTTTTTTTTGTAAACCCACTTATACCTTATTATAAATTTAAACACTAAAATTTGTTTTAACTACTACTCCATCTATTTACGGAACTTTAATACAGGTTTATATAATTGAAAATCAAAAGTAAATAGTCGTTTCACCCCCGAAAATTATGGTAAAAACAATAACATGGATGTGAAATTGCAGAGTTGCTTGTTTCTAAAATTTTCTATAAAACAAAATTCGAGAAAAGTTAATACTTTCCGAGATAATGAGTGTCTTATGATAGATTGATCACTCTGTATATATTATTTATTGCAGCCAGCGGAAGAACAAAAAAAAAAAAAAATAAAATAAAAAAATAAAAATAAAAAAAATGTGATATACACGCAGGAAACGTCTGAACGAACGTATATAATAATGAGCGGGAGTGTATAAAAAGGACAAGAAGTCGTTTGTAGGTTGTGGCAGTGGCGGCAGCGGATGCGAGAAAATGGCTTTTTCGGGAAGATGCACTTGACAGGTGGTACTGCACGTGGGGCTGCGCGGAGACATAATATAGCTATATATACATACGAGTGTATAAGAAAAAAGACCGGAACATACGGGGGCTTAATAATTAATTATATCTTACTTATATGTATATATATATATATGTGTGTGTGTGTGTGTGTGCGTATATTTCATATAAATTGTAAACACGCGTCTTGGCAACGTTGTATATTATTTGAAGACGCGCTTGCGGTAAACTATCGCGCCCTACCGAAAACCGTAAGTGCTCGGACACAGAAATAAATAAATCTTTGTCGCACGTAAATCGTAAAAACCTCACCGCACGGGCCGGACAGACGGAGAGGACAGTGGGTAGGTGGGACGTTGGAGCCGAAATAACGGCCAAACATTATTATACCCGGATATTATTGTAATACTATAGCCGGCCGTTATAGGAGCCGTTAATCGGCCGATATGTGCGTCAGCGTTCGAGACGTGGACAATACGGTAATAACGCATACCCCCTGTCAGGTCGAATACGGGCAACGGCGATGGTCGAAAAGCGCTCGGGTCGAAAACTCGGGTATTTTCGACAAAAATGTCGGGAAAAAAATCAATTTAAAAGTTTTGTAAACACCGATTTCTCTTTCCCCTTACAATTTAATTTTGCGGTTGGTTGAAAATTATTTTTTTAAATACCTACGTTTATATATTTATATATATACCAGGTGTTCGACTCCCGACGTCGCCCGTGTCAGTTTGTATTATTATTATTTTACCCATATCCATTTTTGGTTTTGGCCGTGTGAGAATTGAATGAAAACAATCGGGTGGAAAGCGGGTATAGGAAAATGTGTTCTCTTGTGACATTCGGATTGTGTTAATAATAGTAATAATAATAATAAAAATAGTTTTCTTTTCCGTGGTAACACTAGAATAAACAAAAATCTTATATAAATGAAACAAAGTCGGGTTAGTTACTCTATTTATAACCCAAAACCGGCTGGACCGATTTTGATCATCATATGATATTTTGCGACTAAATTCTAATAATAATTAATCAGCATTTTTTTTTTACCCTTGTTACCGGGGTAATACAAATTAACGAAAAAAATTGTAATCATTATATTATAAGCTAAATTATTTGGTGTTACTCGTGTGTATATATATATATAGGCTAATATACTAAAATCACTGTTAAAAAAATAGTGGGTGGGAGTAAGAGTGTGGAAAATATGTTACGACCTATCCTCGGGCCTACCAAATATACACAAATAAATTTCATGAACATCGGTCAAGCCATTTTGGACGAGCAAGTTTACCACGAAAAAACGTGTCCACAGAACAGAACAAAGAACAACGAATAAAAACCAATAGCTCCCTCGCTGCGATCGGAATCTAAAATGCATTCTTAAATATTATGTGAAATATACACCGATATGAAACGTATTATTTCTATATGAGCGTCTACACACAACATTGCTATATGAAAGGACGTAAATTTATTTTAACTTTTAGATTCTGAGTGTAGGCATAGCGTAAAGAAGCTATTCCCTACAGCATAACAGTAAGATGTGTGGTTTTTTCATGCAATAATTTACAAAACACAGATATTTCGTACTTTATTAGAAAAAAATGTCACTCGGAAATCCGTTACCTATTGCGACATGACACATAATATTCCAAACGAATTATAACATAATAAATGTTTTTATATTCACGTCGTTCGAGTCATGTAGTTATCCAAAGAGTCGAGATTACTTCCGCTTTGTCGTTTTCCAAATGAAGATCATTTTTATCACAATAGGTCCCTATTAGAAGGTATTGTATGTAATAGACGGCTCATTGCCAGTGTTTTACAGTTTTACTTTACATTCCCAGTTTTTAGCTGTTTCTTCACCGAATTTGTTAAGTTTTTTTTTTTTAGTGCGGTTTGCACCATCCAACACTTGTTCTTAAACGGTTTAGCGTCTTCAATACTGCCTGTATTGCTTACGCGCTATATTTGGGGATTAACGTAATTTATTTCGTATAAAATATCTGAGAAACAATAATTTTTTTTTATTTTTCTAGCGCTAATAGAGCTTGAAAATAAAACATCGAAACTTCGGGTCATGCAATAATTAAAATTTGCGGTCACAGTGTCATTCGCCGTATTTGCCTTTTTAACGTGGCATACGGAATAAATACGTTCACGTGAATCAAACGAATTAGAAGTTGTTTTAGAGATAAAAAATGCGTTTTGACAAATTAAAGACCACATATTGTGTGGATAACGACTGCGTTTTATGATTCTCTAAATATTCGTCTAATCGTTATCAAAAATACAAAAAATCGTATTGAGAGTTTAGTTTTTTTTTTTTTTTTTAAATAATTTCATGTTTTCTAATAATTAATATTTCAAAAAACCACGTCAGGATTGTCTTTAAAATATTGTCTTCTATAAAGTTTTTAATAAAAAGTATTTCGTTATTAAAAGCATTTCCATTTATTCTACGTGAACACATAATTGTTTTACTAGAACGCCGGTATTGGAAACTAGAGGAGACGAAGACGATAAATGTTTCCGTGAACAATAAAATTAGAGTTTTACTCATATAAACTACATTATATTTTATTGTTTTTATATCTAATATAGTAATATTATAAAACTGTTTTCATCATAATTTATTCGATTAAACGACAGGGGGGGGAGGGGGTGTTTGAAATATGATATAAATATTCGAGTGCATAACCGGTATTATAGCAGGTTTACTTATAAACTCAGTAAATTTATCAAAAATACGCATTCGTGACGTCACGTTTTCATACACACACACACACACACACACACACACACACACACACACACATCTACTGAATGATTGCGTATTACGCGAGTATTCCTAGGTACAATATTAGATAATCGAGTTATGCAATTATAATTAATAATATTATTATTCATTTTTATTACGGACCTATCTCGTGAATTATTATGACACGGTAAAATGCATAATCGGTCGACATTATTTATATGGCCGCCTCATATTATAATTTATTATTTCCATCGCGTACGAATATGAATATATTATTATAATTAAATTGTATACGTATAGGTATAGGTAGGTAGTTATGTTTGGTCTGTTCGCAATTTTGATAGACATTATTCGAGTATAATATGAAAGTCATTAAGCCTATAGTTTGATCCGTTGTACCTACCTACAGGTTGCGAAATGTTTAAGAAACTTCTTTAAAACGTTTCGAACAGGTCCAAAAAGTACATTTGTACTGTGTATTTGGGATTTTATTTTTTCCACGTCATCATGTTTTTGACGAATTTAATCGGTATCCCCTCTGATCGAGAGAAACCAAATAGCGATTTGAAATAACTAAAATTCAAGAGTATGTATTTTTATGGCATAACCATAAATCTGACCTAACCTATATATATATATATATATATATATACAGTGGAACTTCGATAACTCGAACCTCTATAAGTCGAATTTTCGATAACTCGAAGGAATACCTTGGCCCCTGGCTTCCAATATATGATATGTGTGAGTTATCGAGGTTCCACTGTATATATATATACTTAATTAGGTGTCCGCAATTGTGTGTAACATTATGAAATATATGAAATATACACAGTGTAAAATCGAATATTTGGGTTTAACATAAACATATAATATAACATATAATTAAACGCAGTATAAAATAAGTTTTTGAACATAATATTGGTTGACAAATTTAAAAAAAAAAATAAAACGAGGCGGAGACGGTTGCACCCCAAAGCACAATATATAAGTCAGGAAGAATAAAGTCAGTCTGAGTGAAAGTTTAGGATTTACCCGTATGATTCCAACGTTTTTTACGTAGGCTATTTATTTAAAGTAAAACACGTTGATACGGTTTGTTGCATGCGAATTGGAAGATTCTGCAGCAAATCGGATTGTTTTCAAATTACAATATTGATAATGATAAAACACGTTTGTTTGACTCTCGCGATACGAAAGTAAACTTTAAAATGAATTATTAGTTTGTTCGCGTATTCTACAGTATTTAACTACTTTTTTTTTTTGCTTTTCATGGCTCGTTCTTACGATATTAAACCGGAAAGCGGCTGTCGCCGCCGTTTGTTTTGAAATTTTTCCTAGACGGATTATGACGCTTACTGTAACATATTATGTTTTACTCGCAGTATTATTCTCAAGATAACATAATACCATATTGTTTTGATAGTTTTTATAATGGCTTGTTATATATACCTACGTATATTGCGCAGGTTTTAATAAATTTGATGTAAACGTTGATTCGCTACGCTGCGATATAAATTATATTATTACGGTAATATGTCGTAGTTTCATTTATTTACTGTAGGTATCGGGTAAAATATAATATGGCAAAATTGTCGATGTTCGAATTCAGTTTTAAAGGTATGGTTATAATCGAGAGATCGCCATAATAATATAGACCGGTGTGGATGCGGGTCATTCCTGACCGAAATAGGAATCGTTGGTAAGTAATATGAGCGGGTGATTGAAGAAGCTCCTATGATGAGAAAAATATCCTTTAATTCGATCAAGATTAAGACGTTGTGTTAAAAAGGACATTACGGAGGTGGAAATCCAGTGTAAAGAGAAATGTCTTATTTCGTATATACATATCTTCGAAATCTACCCCGAACACGGTCTCAAAGCCAAGTAGAAAAGAAAGAAGAGAGATTATAATAAAATATAAATCGTAAATGCGATAGTGTATAGTTAGAGGAAATCTTTTTAAAAAAAAAAACCTTTAATATTTAACTTAGCTCAAGAAATTATTTTCATGTAAATTGTCAACTTACTTACAGTCAAGGCTGGACGTAAGGTTTTGAGGGCGAGTAAGAGGTTCTGATAAATAGAAATACATATAAATTATAAAAAAAAATAATAATAATATGTGTAGGCTTTTAAGTTTACGAAGAAACTATCTACTTATTATTAAAGGTACTTTATTTTTGGGGGACTCTGAGCCTAGGACTCTTACACGTCCTGGGTGTAAACAAATCTGGCCCTGTTACTTTTTTATTTAGTTATTAAAATTACTTGGATAAATTTATATTTTAAAATAGACTTTGGTTTAGCCCATAATTATTTTTTTTAACTACGATAACCGAATTCGAATAAATTAAAAATAATAATAAAAAATCGGGAAACTTTCTCTGCGGCTTTGACCATGATAATAATATAATGAAATATATATTTATCTTTACGCGTCACGGTCTGCGATCGGATTCAATATTCTACCTGCGGGATACGTTTAATATAATAAAATTAAATAAAAACTGTGATATTTACGGAAAGGGTAAAAAGTCAAATCGTATAGGTGGTATTATATTATTTATTTGTACAATTTATAAAAAGCGATAATCCATCATACCGTAAAAAAAAAAACTTTGTATGAAATGCCAGGGTGATAAATTAATATAGATGGATAGGCGGGTTGTTAATTTCGAATTTATCGATATAGCGCTGCGAGCGTGATAAATAAATTCCGAATCGAGCGTAATACCGAAATAATTATTAGGATTGCAGGTGTATTATTACGCATAGATACCCGGGATAAATAAAGATTTCGTTTGGAAGAAAAAAAAAAGGAAAAATGTTTCATAGTTTTTCAACTATACGGCCATGTTTGAATAAAACTACCGGTTAATAATACAAAAAAAAAAAAAATGACCTCCATAAATCACCATGTGTGTGTTCAATTTACAATCCGCGTATACATAATAATATAGACAGTACTACTGCCAGCATTATACGAAACTTTTGCAACGCTAATATTTTACTGGCCCCCTCTCCCTCCCCGAAAAGTGTTTATACATACAGAAAGAAAATAACGAAAATATTTTATGTAAAAAAAAGAAAAAAACCGTATACCCATCATTGTCACAAAATCAATACAGTTATATATTCTAGCGCCGTTGAATTTTAAATTGCTAATTTATTATTTTCATACTTAGCGTAGTGTGAAATATCGTTACAACGATTTCGACGGGAATATGTAAAATTATTATTAAAATTATTACAATACTTTCTATAACTTCTCGACAAACAATTGTATAGCATTATTTCGGTACATGATTTTTATAACTTTTATGCCAAACGTATACGTAACGATAACGTCACGAATGAGGTCTGATCTACAAGCGATGCTAGTCACTATCGCGACAGTAGAATGAATTTCTATACAAACATCTATGAAAGCGCGACAGCAAAACGGAACGGTATCAATTGTACGTGTTCGCATGTAAGTTTTATAAACGATACTTAATGTTAACGTCGCTCCCCAACCTTTATCTACTGGCATTCACGCATTGACTTAATTTAACATAATTTTCACGACATTCCGATAGTTCGCAACGTTTTGTTTCGGAAATCGAAATTAAATTATATTTTATTGCGGTAAATTTCTCCGTTTTCCTTGTAGGCACGGTCGTAGGTTTTCCCCAATTATTAAGAAAAATGCTTGGAAAATAAAAAAAAAAAATTACCTCAAAAATTCGCTCAGAATCTAATAGTCTCAATCTTCTCGATTCACGCAGCTTATATAAATTATCGCGTTGAGAAAAAAACGGTTTTCGATATATCGCTATGAAAATGTTAAGGTAAGTATATTATAATATTGCACACGCATAATAACACTAGCTATCATATCAGTTTAATACGGGAGTCGTTGATTGATGGATTTCCTAATGAACTCTCTTCTCGGTGAATTGCAGTCTTTATGTAACACGTGGAATGTGACTTTACGGTTTTAAAATCTATTTCAGCGCGTGTAGCTGTGATAATATGAGTAGGTAAATTTACTCGCTTTAATATATACTTGGCGAGTTTAATGGAAACGACTTCGTCGGCGCGCTTTAGAAATCTCTAAAACATATTGTAATTCGATTCGCTGACACGATAATACGTAAAACCGTATCTCGCATTATCATATTTGTGCTATGACTGAAACTCGTTAATAATTAACACGTTCGTCCTGTATTACAGTTTTATATTAATTTCGTTAAAAAGTGTTTTAACCCTATAAGGCGTTTTTGTTAAAGACCTACTCGTTAGTTTTTAATGAGGGTATTTATTTGTTTTTAGATTTGGAGCATAGCGAGAAATGTTTTGATATTTTGGTTTTAAAATGATATTTATTTTCTGTTTTTTTTTTTTTCTGTAAACAACTTTTCTACAAAAAATCTTACTCCGATTTTCAAATGTTTTACCAATTCTAAAAGGAAATTTTATTTGTATGGTACTTTGAACAGGCCATTTTTTGATTTTCCAAATGGTCTCATAATAATTAGGAAAACGGGAATATTTACGTGCATGCAGTGTTGAATCCGGATATACTAAATGGGAGACAAATGACCCCTGTAGAACTTCATTAGCCCCCGCCACTGACAAATACAATAACTGTCAACAAAATGTATTTATTAAACGTACAGTACTCGTTACTCATTCCAATTTACAATGAAATGAACAATAAAAAAAAATGAGCCCATCCCAGAAAAACTCTGAATTTAACACTGCGTACACGTATAAAGCAAACTTTTCTCCGAATCGTTTTTTTTTTGTTAGCAATTTTTTATTGTGGCTTACAAATATAAATTATATTCTTTCTGTATACTTCTTTTTCAACTTTTTACCTACAACAGTGGTCCACACATCGTGTGAAGTATTCTTTTTTTTTTTTTTTACTTCAGAAAATCGTTGAAAACTACAGCGTTCATATAGATATCTATAGTAAAAGTTCAAGTTGAAGGCGATCGAATTTCAATTTCTAGAAACAGTAAATTATTAATTATTGTCAAACAAATATTATGTAAAAGTCTGGAAATATTATTCGAGACGCGTTGCAGTTAAGGGCGAACGCAAGGAAAAGAGGGAAGGTCCATAAATATATACTTAACATCAGCGTTCGAGACGTATATAGAACTTAAAATCAACAAAAAAAAAAAAACGTTTAAAAAACTTTATTTAAGCCCTTAAAAAGCTTAAATAAGTACAACAAATATGTTTAAAAAAGCGAAAAAAAAACTATGAAAAAGTATTCGTTTGAAAACTATCAATCTTCATTCGTGAAACTATCAACAAAAAAAAGCACTGAAATTTCATATTATAACTCCGGAATAAATTTAAAATTAAACCCGTGGATTTCGGTTGCCCCGTGCTCACAGATGGCCAACGCACGCGTCAAAGTGTATAAGATAATAGATAGAAAAAAGAACGAATTCAATATGATAACACAAAGGTGAAATTATTTAAAAATCATACAGGGAATTAGCCAGGTTCTCTCTTGTACGTAATCATGAAATAAAAAAAAAACACGATAAAAAAAAATAACACAAAGAACTAGTACACTGCATTAATGTGCTCGGCTAGACTCGACGTCAAACCAAAAAAATGAAAAAAAAAAAATAATAAACAAACGCTACACGTCCCGAACCTTGCCCGGAATTGTATCTTTATACCGCTGCGATACGATTTATTATCATCATTTGCAGTATTTCGCAAGAAAATTTCGAGCGGTCCGTAATTTCGGAACGGGTTTAATTCGCCACGACCCCTCAACACTAATACCGATCCCTTCGCCCGGAATCGAGTTCTGCACATTACCGAAATCATTTCGGATAATTGTCGAAGACGTCCATCTCTTCCGTAATAATAAAATATCTAGGGCAGTTAAATGCACGAAAAGACCTAAACAAATGCATTTGTTTAGGTCGGATGTCAACAAATTCAATAAAATATGCACTTAAAATGCGAAAAAATGCACTTAGTGCCAAAAAATCGTAGTGTAAAATACACTTAAAATGGTTTTAGTTTTCATATTTATATCGATATCATAGTACATATTATACGCATACGAATGCATTTATTTAATAAAAAAAAAATTATTTAAAAATATCGACTGAATTCGAATTTTGATTTTGAAGTTGATTGATTCTTTAATAATTCTATTTGCCTGAAACTTTTTTTTTGTTTTTATTTTATTGAAAAAAAAAAAACGTTTTTAAAGATGTTAACTGACACGGAATTTGATCAAAAATACCGGGAAATGAACTAAAAAAGGAAAATATGACCTGAAATGAGAAAAAAATGATCTACAAAGTTAAAAACGACAAAAAATGCGGAATAAAATTTTCACAAATGGATTTGTCGGTACATAATTCAAATTATGTAATTAAAAAGCTGTACGTTTCTCAATCACAAAAAAAAAAAAAATTCGCTTTCCTACAAATTCGCGGCACTAAAATAACACGTGTAACGTGCGTGCAACGCGAGAACGAGGAAAAATGCTCGCGCTCTCTCGCCGCATAAAAACGTCGTCGTCATCGTCGCGTTCGCGTATTTTTAATATCGCGCGCGTCTTTTCCGCACTACCCATTCGGTCGGGCGCACCTTCACTCCATTATTATTATTTTCTCCGCGCACTTTTGAACGATACGGACAAACTGCACCGCCGCCGTCGCGTCGCCCGGGGCGGTTTATCTCCCTCTCCCTGCAACCTCCCCCCCCCCCCCCCCCCCCCCCCCCCCCCCCCCCTTCGCCCCGCCCCGCCGCGACCCGCGGAACTCGCATAAATTGTCACGTTATACCGCGCGCACCCGCGGGTTTCACTCCCGTCGTACCGTGCACCGCGTTGCACTATCGATGTACACACGCGTGTTGCGATAATTTCAATATTTACTCGGCGGACCGCCGGCAATTATAATCGCGAACGCGTCGCGCCGGGAGGCAAACGCGCGCGCGTTATCGGTACCTGTGCGGGTGTCGTTTGGCGTTTTTTCGCGACACGTTCGTCACGAGCCCGCTGTACGGCGCGCGCAATAAACAAACGGCGTGCGCCGTCGTCGTGACGACAATACATCACGGCACCGGCGTCTGGTGTACACCGTTACGGTACTCCGCGGCCGTTTCGCGGATATTTCCCGGCGAACTCGCGCGTGTTTGAACGCGCGCGTCCTAACGAAACAAGACCGACGACATTTGCACAGTTAATTCATTATTAGTACGATAAATATTTGGCGGTCGATGTGCGCCGGAAACTGGATACCCGCTTGTTTTTTTTTCCCCTCGCCCCCCCACCCTCCTCCTCTCGCTCGTTTGCTTTTACGTTTAACCGCCATCCGTGTGCACGACGCTTAGTTTATTCAGTAAAAAAATAATACGTCCTATAATAATACGCACTAAAAGCCGGGTACTGGGGACGGGTGTTCCGCTATTGTCGGCGAAAAGATAGGAAGGCAGGTCTCACGTGTAGTTATTTAATTTTTTTATCTGTAAGTGACGATAAAACGTGAAAAACAATTTGTTAGGTCGTAATATACGCGATTCCCATGAAGATTTGGTATGAAAACTCTTGAAAAATTAAAAATGCTACATTCAATTTTTTTTTTTTTTTAACCATTAAGTACTGCCTATATCGAATCTCCCGTTAAATTGTCAGGCATTTCTGTTTGGTCAAACGATTTTATTCACAGAGTACATACCAAATAAGAATTAAGTAAAAAGCTCACAAAATTAAAACGTCTATAAATAGTTTTGATATAAGCTTTTTTAAAATGTCAAGCTTCTGAACAATAAAATAAAAGTTGAATATACTTCTTACGGAGGTGCAGTCATTGTTATGGGTGGGAAGTTGAAAAGTAGTATACAGATAGAAATTTAATGTATATCTGTTAATGACGATAAACCATTACTAACGATTCTGAGCGAAGTACAGTAGATAGTAGATAGGCTTTGTCAACAATATATATGTCATGTTATAGTAAAATGATTATAAAAATGTGCGTTTCTACGACAACAATGATTGTTTAAAAAAGATTAAAATAATAAAAACGGTTGCTAATGTCAACCGTATTTTTAATCTGTCTATCTTTTTTGACTTAGAAAAACCAGGTTTTCCTCATAATCTCGAATATTAATGAGAATTTCGAACAATTACCATTTTAAAGTACCACACAGAGAACATTTCCTTTTAAAAGGTGCTATACTTAATAATCGGAGTAAGCTCTCTGACAGAAAGTTTGCACATAAAAAAAATAAATAATACTAAAATAAAATAAACATCATTGTAAAACCAAAACATTTCTCGCACTACTTAGAATTTAAAACAAAATTAAGCATTATTTTTGTACATTTAACCCGTTCTTTCTACGATTTTTTTTGGTTTTGCTCAATTATTTAAACATTTACTCTGCAAATCAAAAAACAACTTTATTATTCAACAAGAAGATTAAAAATTCAATAAAAAAGATATCTGGTTAATTTTTTATTGGAGCAATAGTTTTGGAAGAAATCTTAAACCGTAAAAATTAAAAATAAAGGAATCATAACGCCGATATACATATAAATATATATATATCAGTTTTCATTTTTCCAATTATTATGAAAACTCCTAAAAAATCAAAAAATAACTAACAATGCACTAACAAGATATAAAATATTCTTTCGGATAATGTGCTACACTTTTATATCAGAGCAAGTTTTTTTTTTTCGAAAAAAGTTGTTTACAGTCGGAGAAAAACACACACTTCATAGTCTGTTAAAACAATATATCCCTCGCTACGTACTAAATCTAAAAAAATAGGTTATTTTAAATATTCAGTAAACAGGGTATCCCACAGTTTTTTATTTCTGTTAACTTTCAATTTTTAACATTTTATTATTTATATATTATACACATTTATATATATTCGGAGAAAATTAAAATTTTTATTTTTACCCTTTATAATCACAAAGAAAGACTATTTGTTCACTTTTTTAAATTTTCAATTTAGTGAATGTTATTCTAAAAATTTTAATTGTTCCGTATTTACATAACCGATCAATAATTTCTCAGTAATAGCAATTTTAATTTTGATAAATGGGACGTGAAATAATTTTATGCGATGGCTTATACTCGTAATGGGTATAGTTACTGCTATATTATACGAATTTGAGTTAGTAGAATTATAAGTGATGTACAATTTTTTTATAGTTCAGAAATTACTGATTAAATATTCTTTAAATTTAAAATTGTTATTTATTTTTTTCATTTCGGATTATGATTATTTATTTAAAAATTAGAAGTATTTTTTCGATTTTTAGATGTACGTAAAATTAAAAATATATCATAAACGGTTAAAAGAAACCGTATTATACAATATAAATGTTTATGTACTAATATAGGCACTAGACAGTAGCACTGTGTATTACACACAGTGAGGTCACTTCGCCGGCCGCACGTACTACAAAGTTGTTTATTGCTGGAATGATAAATGATAACTACAATTTAAAATAATAAAACGGACCGTTTATACAATTATTGGGAACATGCATTTGGGCACAGCGAAATATTAACAGCCCGGTGGTTAAACTGTTATCGATGTTTTTACATTATCCGTCCGTTTTAAAAATACGTGCTATTAAAGCTGATAAGGATTTGCAGTGTTGCTAACATTAATCAACACAAAATCAATATGAATAAACACGGACATAAAATTTTTTTTTTTTTTTTTCGCGTTTCTCTTGGACGAAATGTTCAATAATAAATGTCCGTGGGTTAGAATTTTCCATTTGTTTTTCATCCGACTGTCATTCGGAAAAAGCACGCATGCTTTCCGTAATGTTTATGATTTTCCTGTATCACGCTGTACTGTCCACATCATGTTGTAATTATTAATGTATTCGTTAGAAATGAAAGTCACGTGGCGCGTTCGGGAACGGCCGAAATCTCCCGTAACAGGAATCGACCGTTTAACGTTAAGGGAACGTGATATTATTGAATGTTAATATAACGTTATTGATATGTTTGTACAAATACACCACGTTTTAGAACGTCAAAAACTGTAAAACCAATATTCCTATTACGTGTTCATCGAGCATGTTTAATTGAAAACATTCAATTAACATATAAATGACACTAACATCACTCTAATCTTCTGCTAGCCCCGCCTGCACTATTCGGTATCGCGATACTCTTGACCACACAGATGCTGTGCCCGACGCCAGTCCATTATAATATTCAAGTCCTCGGTGTATACATATATTATAAACGAGGATGATAGAAATATAATAAAACATTATTGCCGCCTGCGACAATGAAAAAGGTCTTGTGTTACGTTTTTCATAACTCCTATAGTCATTTCGGACGAGTAAATTGTCTTTTTCACGGATGACGCTGTAAAACGATACGACCTTTAATTTGTAGTACCTTAAAAATACGAATAATTTTTCGTTGTGTCAAACGTCATCATTAATGTTTGAAATAATTGGCCACCGCGACCGCTCCGTCCGATTTCATTATACCAGCGATACACTCTAAACACGAATGTATTCACGTGTAAATATTTCGGGTAGGTTTTCCATTACCGATATTATATTTACCGCAGTTTCCTGCAATGGTTAAAGTGGGAGAAACTTCGAAAGGGGACTATATTTACCGATAATTGAGGGGTTTCCCGGGAACTAACTAAACCTAACCGAACCTTCAGGATACCAATCACAGAGAGATGACTTCAAAAATTTGTTCTCCCCCACGCATTTGTTCATGACAATTTTATACTATTAGGGTTAAGAAAATAAACGGCACCGCCGACCTAAAATATTATTCTACGCGTATGTTTAGTAAAAACATGGTAAAACAGAGTCCGATTGCGTACAATCAAATAGATATTAATGCATTTATTTTTAACAAATCATGTGCCCTCCCTACAGAACTTCAAGACTTAAGCACAAGGGACTGATAATGTTACAAAAAAAAAAAAAAAATTCTCCCTCCACCCCACTTCGACCGTCGGGTTTCCGACGATAAATTCAATATCGAACACGTTCTGCTGCAGGTATTTAACCGCGATAACGAGAATTTTCCTATTTGCTGTATCCGGATTGAACTCACGCGCGTTTCCAAACGTAAATAAGATTTGGATCGTTATTATATAGGTATTATATGGGTGGACTGTATTTATGTAAATATTTCAGTCTATCAGTTTTCCCGTAGATTCGAATCGACCGTACGTTTTTATGAAAATCCGAATTGTAATTGCATTTAATATAACCGTCATAGCCCGTGAATTTGTATGTAATTTCTTCCCCGGATCAACAGTTGTATTATTATAAGAATATATTCTGTTGTTTAAACACCGCTGTTTTGCTTGCAAACATTCTTATATAAGTCACCATTATTGAAATCAAATGTTTATTTTATTACTTGTATTTACAGACCACTTGTATAATTATATCGAAATATTATATTCGGATCGAAGCGAAGGATATATTGCAGATTTCGTTACGGTGGAGTTTTTTCCTTTTTTGGGTGTGTCTTTTTTTGTGTAACGACTTTTATATCAGAAATCAGAAATCGTGCTTCAATCATAGATCTTATCGAAACTTGCTTGTAGCGTTTTTTTTTTTTTTTTTTATATAGTTACCTTGAGGCGGTCATTTCTTTATTTTTCTAATATAGTTTTCTACGGATAAAATTGGAAATTGTTTATATAATTCGATTTTTGTTGATTTTTAGATTACCTTAACAAAAATTCTATAAACGATTACCTAATAATACTCTGCTCAGAATCGTTTTTCATTAGAAATAATTTATCGTTGCATACACTTTTAAATAAAGTCACTCAAGTCACATCTCATCAAACTTCCCTACTAAAACAGTGGTGACACTTATCAGTAAGATTAGCCATTATTTGTCATTATAATATAAAAAAAAAAAAACAACTGAAATGATAAAAGATGAAAGTAATGCTGAGGTTTAAAATAAATTAAAATTTCTTTATAGATACTATAGTGTGCATAGTTTATGTATTGCCATTTGCGATCAACTTGGTATTTTTCTTTTTATACATATTTACTTACTTTTCAACTTTTGAGTTACCATTCAACAGTTTATAAAATTAAATATTGTAACCTTATAATATAAATGATGAAATTTTCATTTATAACAACATTGTTAAAAATAATATCAATATACGCACCTAACAGCTTCTTTTTCTTAAAAAATAATAATTCGCTTTGATGTATATTCGGTATAGGTGTACGAAAAGACATAATTTTATCCCTGAATGTCATATACCTTTGATTGTTTTATCCTCAAAGACGCGTCCACTACTTTGACGGCATAATATAAATTTCAATATTTTATATATTAAAAAATATTCGTGAATAAATATCTCAGTATATTTTTTAAAATTATAAAATTTAACAAAAAAAAGTTTTATCTATATCGGTAACTTGTATATGTTTTAAATTTATTTTAAACCAATAGAATATTTTCCAATTCCAATACCTAGATCAATAAACTATAATGAACATAGTGTATAATCTGGACAGATAAATTTTTAATTATTATCTTTACAATAAAGCTATAGAATTTGATTGACGTGCTCAGGAAAGTTCAACGGCAGGGGTAAATAATAGTTATATGATTATTAATTAAACCGTAAAAACTGCTACTGTTATACATAACCCGTCAATGAGAATTGGCATGCGAGATCCAAAAAAATCAATTCGTATTTAATAAATCAAGCTTTTTTCCTTGTAATTCGACCAAAATATTTAATTTCAAGATACAATTATTTGATGATTATCGTTCATAATAAGTTGTTGTATTCTTAAGTCAGCAGGGGAATAGCAAAACTCTAACCTTCCCCCCTATGCACTCCACTGTAATTGTCCGACAAATGGGACACGAGTTATCTGAGCCGAGATAAATACAAACAAATCATCAATAGATTATCTTTTTTTTTGAAATAATAAGTGAACAATTGAAATAAAATTAAAATAAAACAAATTATCAATTATTATTTTAGCATTACATCAATCACGCGGTCTTTTTAAAATCATGATGCGTGTCGCGTTTAGCCCTTGATATTTTGATACGTTAAGTCAATGAAACAAGTTGTCTTTTTTTTTTTTTTGTTGATAATGAGCATAGCAATTATATTTATCGAGATAAATTTAAAAATTTATTTTTGATACAACAGTGATATAGTTTAATACGTTTTTGTTGTTGTTTTGCAAGCGATTGTGCAGTACGTCTTTTTTTACTGCAGCCACACAATATGAAAAGCCGATTATGGTGTTTCGTACTAATAGAAACCGAAAACGAATTCGTTTATTCGTTTTGTTAACATTTGTTTCCGACAAAATACGAGAAGAATTATTTATGCATACCTAGAAATTATAATTGCATAATACTTAGATTTATATATTATACATAAATATTATTACTGTCGGTTACCGTTTTTATAAAAAAAAAAATAAAATAAAACACTGTTTGCGCAATACGCGGTGTTTCTTTACGAATTCCAAAAGCAATTACGGAGATAACGCGGTGGTATTTAATTAATTAAAGCGTACTCGAGATAAACGGGCAAGCGAAATGGGTGCAGTGTATAGCCGTAGTAAACTGGAGTGGATTTTTCGATTTTACACTTTCAAACGTTTCAAATTTAAGTCCGACGAAATTGAAGTTTATTTAGGTACACAAAGTAAAAAAAAAACACAAAGAAAAATATTCGTGTTTATATACAGTAGAGTAGTCAAAAATACAAACTGTCACTTTATACGATAATACAGTTGAAAAACACTAGGATTTCGAACGGCAAGTTAAAAACCGTTCATTGTTAATTAATTTCGGGGTGGACGGAAAAAGGGAAATCTAATGTTTGTGTCGTTTGTTTTATTCGCGTTTGTATCAATTTAATATCTTCATAAGTACTTACATACTACACAGAGTGACCGTAATAACGTAAAACACACATTATCTTGCAAATTACAAACTTGTTTCGTAATTTGTTTTTCAGAACATCTGAAGAATAAATAGCTCTAATAGCTCTAACATTGCTAGTTTTTGTTGTTACCATTATTTTAGAGGGTAAACCCACTACCTACGTCATTTTCAACTAGCAACCTATATTAAAAATTCCATAAATATAAATTCCATGGCGTATTGGCTTAAATCGATTTTGGTGTTGACATTTTTAATTTCCGTCAACCAGTGGACGATTCATTCCACTTTTAAGTTTCAGCCGGGGGAGAACAGTGGTGCGTCATTTGGGTGGTGGTACGGCACGGCGCGCGGCATTTCACTTGTTTTCCACCGAATCTTAAAAGCGAAATTAAAAAAAAATTAAAATTAATATAAATTGCTGTTTGAAAGTCAATTAAGTTGTGGTTTCACCGTCTAAAATAAGGATGACGGAAAAATGAGTAATGTAACATTTTACAGCCACTTACTTTAAATGTTCTTAAAAAATTAAGACTTTCCGGTGTCACGAGTGTCGTACGTCATTTCAATCGCCCGTATGGTATTTAATTCAGATAACCGTTAGACAAAATTGCAAAATTAAACGCGTATCATTTAAAAAATAGTAACTGATTGAGCATTTATTCATACCTAGATAATTTTATTGGGGTTCTGAGCAAAGAAAGTAATGTATTGGATATTTGTTTCATGATGATGTGTATTTTTTTTTTTTTTTGTATCTGTTTATTACTAAGAGTCGTGTTCTAAATAACCATTTTAATGGAACTTTCTCGCAGAATTTTTGATATGGACGCAGTTTATCGTTGAGATTTTACCGTAGAAACTTATTGTATATTCATTAGTGACCGTCGACTGGCATTTCCAGTGTTTACATAAATATTAACACTGTTAAGGGATCCGGTAGAATTAATAAAATATTTTTTGATTTCAGCACATTTTGAAAAATCATAATACGTATTTATAAGTGATTGTATTTTAAACTTTTGCGACGATACATTTTTAACAAGCCAGCATGTTGACATAAACATTATTCAGAAAGTATTTCAGATTTTCTATCAAAGTACATAGGTGATATATAGTAAATAAAATAGAATTCGGGTGACCGGACGACAAAACGTTTGTTCTTTCGTATTATTTTATAATATGTATTTTCCAGTTATCCGGAATCGTCCACTGGATTTTTGACAGCTATTTCGGTTTCCTTTGAAGTTTTCTTAATATATTAAAAAACTGGCGAATGTTTCCATATAGTTTTTATGTAGTTAATGATCTCGGTAACAAGAAAAATATACGATTCTTCTCAGAATCGTTTTTAGTTACCAATAGTTATCGTTGGGTACAAGAATAAATTTAATTACTGTTTATATTCTCCTGTCCAACTTCCATCCAAAAAGAGTATGATAACATACTCGCAAAAATTGATACAGCAGTATCAGCTTAATCTAATTTAACACGTTGAAAACAAAATATAGTCCACGTAAGTCTATAAGGAGTTCCGTGGTACTCTGGCCACAAATCTCAGTTTGTCATTATATTTTTTCGGTATCGTTATTATTTTTCGTCGGCGACCTTTAATGGAATTATTACATATTGTTTTCGTTTTATTAAAACTTATCGAGTAATTATTTTTAAGAAGTTGTTATTATTGTTATTATTTTAAGGGCTTTGTTGAAAAGTTTGGCTTTTAACCGTCCCGATTCGGACTCAAATAATGCGCTTATAAGAATATTATACAGAGTCGGTTAAACGATTCGGTACGTTATTAATAATTCGAAACGACCGCGAATAATACGCGATATTGAAATATTGTTATTGCACGACAACAATAATTATTGACAAAAAAATTTAAAAAGCTGAATGAGTACCTCGCCGGGCTCAACATTAATTATTGTCTTTTCTCCGCCGTCGCGCCGGTCGTTTCGCATAATCGAAAAGCTTTGATAATTATTGCGAAACGTTAATATACAGGGTCTCTCGGTTATTTCACGATATTATAGTATTTTAAAAGCGCGAACGCCGGGCACGCGGGGACCATAAGCGTACGGTAACCGCGCCGTTGCCCGCGGAACCGTAACATATTTTTAATCCGATACACCCTGTACACCGGGCACCGACAAAATATAATAAACCGAAATCGTTTATAATAACGATTCATATCGCGCTTTAGAAATAATAACGAAATTCGTTAAAACCGAACGCGACGTGCGGTATTATAATAGTGTGTTATTATTATTATTATTATAGCAACAGTTCTCGTAAAATAATCTTTGTACTCCGATAAATATTTTAATAACATTACAACAGTATCATTAATAAACACCGGCCATTCCGGGCTGTGCGTCGGTACACGATCCTTCTGTTTTCTGTTCGGTGGATGCAAATTTTGTTCTCGGTTACCGACACGTCACCGACGCCGCCCTTCGACACGTCCCGCACCTAAGGACCCTAAGACCTTATGCCTAAAGCCCGGTATCGGGGCTTCGACCCCCTACTCCGAAATTTCATGAAAATTACGACGAAAGCGTAGAGTCTAAATAGAGTGTTAAAAGTGGGTTCGGTCAACGAGGAAGATGTATAGAATTTTTGGTTTTATTTTATTACTCTATTGTAGATACATAAATATTGTTGTTAGTATACAATATTTTCATTCGTAATTTTTTGTGATTTTCCTATTTTCCTCCTTTATAACATTGTACGGTGACATTGCGTAATCCGCATTGTCATCGCAATTATACGCATTACGTTATCATTTAGGCGGTATTCATTGAAATAAATATCAAGTGTAAAATTTAGTAATAGTCATACCTAAATAGCTAAACACGAACGTTATAAAATATTGACATTTTTAATGAAAAACAAATGATCCCGTACAGTTGAAAGCGTGTAAACTGTTTCGTTATTTTAGAGTGTGAAAGTGTACAACCTTAACCCCCCCCCACACCGCCTAACCTCCTCCCCCGAAATATTTTACCGTGAACGCGCCTGACCGGGAACACTATCAATCGCTTTTGCAGAGCTCGCTCGGAGTGTTTTAGAAAACCGACGATTTGTCGCGCGAAACCTCGTCGGATACGTAACACGGAAAAGACAAATGCGCCCGGGCCTCTGGAGACTCGGCGGGGTATGATCGCGTATGATCGATAGCGACACGTTAAACAGCGGTAAATTCGTATCGACTAATCAGAATACGGCTGCGGCGGGTCGTGTAACACCGTAGATGCCGGTATGTTAATTATACGCTTTCGGGCTACGGTTTTTCTTCCGTATATCCGTTTGTTTGATGTCCGCGTATTGATATTTAACAACGTTAACAATATCATTACACCGCGTTCAATACGGTCGTCCGACCCGGCAAAAGCCGGCAGGGACACGGCAAAACGGGTATCAAGAACAGCAGTGTATAGTGAAAATCAAAAAAAAAAAATAATAATAATAATAATAATTGTATATCGCATTAACTGTACGAACGGTAATAACGCGATCGAATAATGTAATTAGTCTCATATTATCTCGGCGATCGATATGCGCTTATACGCACGACGTATTTTTAATTTAACAATACAATTACCATCAGTTATAGTATTGAAATATTTGAATAATTGTTATACATCATTACGATAATATTATCGAAAGGCACTTCGGTATAGCACTTGAAGATGTTACGTTTCGTTTCATTGCCGGTACAATATCGTAAACAACGAGTCAACGCGAACAAATCAAAGCGATAATACACATTTTATTTCCCAGCGGCAGTTAATTTGCGTTACATATAATAATTAATTTTTGAAGATTGCGACTGTACTTGACACGCATTTACTATCTAAAACGAAAAAGAAAAAAAAAGAAAATCTCAGTAAAACTAATAGCTTCTTTACTATAATACTGGCAGAATCTGAAAGTTGCAAAAATAAAAAAAAAGTTTGTTGGGATTTCTTTACGTGCACCTGATACCTATTCGGATTTAATTTCGAGCTTTGAATAGTTTATATTTTCTTTTACGGCAATAATCATAAAAAAAATAAAAAAAAAGAAAAGAAACGAAGGCACAAGTTGCGTATAAGCGAATAAGCCGCTGAATTTTAATAAATACGCGTAAATTATGCATAGGTAATAAAATACTTTCGCGTTTTTTTTTAGTATTTTTTTTTATTTTTTCTAAGTTATTCGACACGGTTAAACTAAATTATTATAACACGGCAGGTGTACAGTACTACGCGGGTAAAACTATTGTCTACTTTATCCTACCGTTATGACCTTATAAAATATATTCTATAATTTCGACTTTTGTAAAAAATATCGTTTTATTATTCAGGAATATGTGATTTATTCAGAAAGTATACGGGAGCACATATAAGTAGGTAAATACGATGTTTGTCTTTTTTTATTATTTATGTGTCGGTGTTTTTTTTTTTTCGTCGTTGTTTCGTAAGTTTTTCTCTATATATTTGTCGAGTATAAATTTTAAAATAACATTATACGCGCATATTATCATTCCGTAAACGAATAAATCATAACATTGTAGCGTAATACTACTATATCTGTAAGTATTGAATGATAATAAGTAATATTATTATTATTAGATATACCTACGAGCAGGTTGGTACCCGCGATAGATCAGATAACACGCACGCGTGGCCTAAACGATCGCACAGAGTTTTGAAATTATTTCAAAGTGATAACAAAACCCCGGGAGTATCGTTTGTTTGTAAATTATAATGACATGTAATACTAAATAACCACTTTCCGTATATAATAACATATTGTATTAGTTTTCGAAAAAAAAAAAAATAACGTATTAACCGAACGTTTTCGAGAGTCGTATGACTGATAAATTATCGGTAGGTATAAACTTCGTCTGAGGAGTCAAATCCCCCATCCACTGTTTAGTATTGTAGAAACATCTTTCTGCTATACTAAAATTTCAATTACCGCTCTCGAAAAAAAAAAAAAATTGAAATTGAGCATACGAATAATAGGTGCTAAAAGTCGAAGCATAAAAAAGACACATCCTTACTATGGATACTATGGATACATAAAATGGCATTCCCCTGACTTCGTTTCAGAGGGTTTATAAGGATGTTAAATCGAACAAATCTCCTTCTCTCGCAACAACATTGTGGAATTCATATTCAAATTTAACCCGGCATCAATCACTTCAATACGCCAATAAAACAACTTTCATTCCAAGTTTGAGCTCATTTGGCACAAAGAGAGCTGCTTAAAGTGTCCGAAAATACATAAATATATTATTATACGTTTTACAGAACCAAAATGTAGCACTGTAGAGAAAACTATCTGGTTTTTTTATTTATACAATATTTTTGTAATCAATCGCATAATTCAGTATACCCTAAAATTAGAAAAGTATTAATTTTATCAAATGTTAAAAATACTACCAAATTATACTTAACGCACAACACTGGTCTATTATAGAATAAACTTCGAAGTAAACAATACAAATTTATCGATTACATTACATACTTGTAACACTGTATTTCGTCATATTAAATAAAACGCGCCTAAAGTTAAAAAAGGAAAATAATTAAACTTATATGGCGAAAAAATCCCATATATGGATTATAACTTTATCGTAATAATTAATAAGCCTACGGTACTAATAGCAAATAAAAAATTTAAAAAAATTTAACTCGGTGAAAAGTATTTTTTTTTTTTTTTAATTGAACACAATGAGCAAATTGATAACAAAAGTTTTGAATTTAATGTTTGAACTCTTGAATCTTTTTAAATCTACACCCATGGATTTGTGTTATCCCACGCACAGCAACGACCGACACCACAAATAGATAATCTTTATGTTTCTCAATTCATCCGTAACGGAATCAGTGGCATCTGTGAAGGTTTTACCACTCACTTTGTTCAGAAATCGATTGATGAAGTATGGTTATTATCAGTGATGCCAACGATGATGCCGTCACAGATGAATTGAGACGCATAAGGTATATTATAACACAAACAAGGAAATAAAAGTTAGATAATACAATTCAAAGGCAAAATTATTTAAAAATCACAAGCGGAAGGGTCTGAGTTTTGTCAGAGGATTACGTGTTCACAAAGTAAACAATATGCAAAACAAAGCAGGGAAAATGATTTTTTTGTTTAAAAATCGAAATAAGCTAATAAAATCGATTTAAAACGTCTATGGCACTCTGTTGGATGTTATAACACGACGAAAAAATAAACAAGCCTAATAATATATCGAGTAGACGAAAAAAAAATAAAATAAAATAAAGTTCCGATCACTGATGATAACCTAACATTGAGGGTTTTTTCGACATATCTTTGATAGTTGATTTTTAATATTTTTATTTATTTATTTATTTTTTTTTTGAAGAAGAAGAAGAACAGTATAAACAGCAAGGAATTTGTACATGTTTTATGTTTGTCAAAATGATTATTTTTTCCCGAAAACTGGTAGGTACTTTCATACTTTCATATCAAAGACCTGTTTCGGTAAAAAGTACCGAATATTTTCGTACCTACCCCGAATACGCGTATAAAGCATTCTTTGTGGTCGCAATACATATTATATTTTCCAAAGGACTTTCTGACGCGTCTGCTGAAAAATATTGAACGAACCGATGTTTGCTCTCTGAGACTATCGGCCGACTTGTATCGGTTGAAAAAAAACAAATTTAATTCGATATTCTAAAAAAGGCGTTCATAAATAATGGCAATGACGATAAATTCTTCTTTTTTTCTACAACGGATTCGTGATTTGCGAGTGACTCGTGTGCGGCCCACCTGTTGTCGGCGTTGTTATTTCATAGCTACAAAACGACACTAGACAATAAATTGCGTCTTATCCGCGCGAACCATAATGATAATATAACAAAGCAATAATTGTATCGAGCGTGATGTTGTTACCTATCTCTTTGATTATAATAATCTGGTAGTGACACAAAGCTCTCCGTGACGGCGGCATGTATAATGCAATAGTTGTGTATTTTAGGGATTACCTCTAATTGGGATTTCGGCAATAATACAATATTTGCACATGACAGATTCCGCGATTCGATTACGGATTTTCCTTGTGCGAAATATATTATTTTATGTTCGAGAGTATATTATATGAAAAAAAAAAAAATAATAAAAGGAGTCGTAATGCCGCGGTTGCGCCGCTGTTATAGGTGAGGAAACAAAGTCGGGCGTATACGCACCGTCGGCGGTCACGACCAAGTTTCATTTTTCAGTATCGTACGGAAAAAATGTTTCGACGGAAGTTTACCGCCGGGTGAAAATTCCGCGTCTCGTTGCGCGTATACAGGTAACTTGCCTAAATTAACTTAACCTGAGCTAACCTGTTTTGGTATCGGACACTTTTCGCCAATAACCAAAATAGCAGAGTCAAACATCAATTTTATTTCGCGTGTTTTGAATTGTTTGCTTGTCATTGTACACATTTTACAATTGTATTGCTTTTTAGAGCATATTTTCTTGGTACGCGCGGTTTTTATTCGAGTCCTATAAGAGTACGCACGTTCAAGATTATATGAACTTGCCGTCGAATGATCGCTCGCGGATTTACGTTTGAAACTACGAGAAAACGTCTCTTCGTGCGGTGTAATTTCCAGAGTAAAAAGTCATCCTAGGACAGTGGGGTTGAGCGCGGCCATTGTCATAAGCGAGAAGTCGGGTACATGGGGGTAGAAGGGAAATATCTGTACGCGACGATAAACTGTTGCTAACGAAAAACCGATTTTGAGCGGAGTTCGAGTTTGATATCGTTGGTTTGTCAACGATAAACGTGTGTCGTATTGCCGTAAATATAATTGCACAATATGCATTACGTATATCTGTTTTAATGACATCCGTCCGATATATATATTGTACCTGTTTTTCCGCTTCCCTCGCGTTTTCTTCCCGGTGTCCCCGGCGTTTTCCGTTTATCGGGAAAACTCCCGGTAGAACCGATAAGTTACCGCCGAAAAGTGTCTGCCCGGTCCGGTTTGCCGTTCGAAAAGGCGCGATCGCCGTAAATCGGAGCACAAACGCTCCGGTAAAAAAAAAAAAAACAAAAACAATTGTCCGCGGGAAAAACGAAAAAAAAAAAAAAAAATTAGCGGAAAAAACGAACGCCGTTTGAAAGCCGGTACATTTCTCGCGCCGCCCCCGGGATCCGAGGCCGGCGACAGCCACGCGGGATCCGTCGGGTACCGACCCGTCCGTCGCCGTTCTGTTTCGGGCGCTCGGGATCGCGGGCGAGCGTCGCGTTTAGAAACCGGGAGCCAACGGCGTACGATAATAATAATAATAATAATATGTACCGCCGGCCCGCGGGATCCGACGCACGGCCATAACGGACGCCTTTGACGCGCGAATCGAGCGTATCTGCGCGTTATCGTTACCGTCAGCCTGCGCGTGGGTATACCGCCCGCCCCCCCCACCCCCCGGGATAATTATTGTCGGCGCGCACCGCCGACCGCGAACGTCGGACCCGGTCGGAAGACGCGAACGCCCGCGATTTCCGATACGACGCGTTAATATTACGCGTATCGCGAGACCGCGTACGCGCGCGCGTGTGCGTGTGTGTGCGCGCGTACGGGGCGCAGTGTCCTGTTGGGGATACCGCGATAAATAACCGGATCGCACAATGCGACGGCGGACAAAGAACTCGCGCCGCGTTACATTGTTCTCCGGGCGAGCGCGCGTTCGCGTGTCTCCCGAACGTTCGCGCACAGGTATAATATAATATACGGTATAGACATGTTTGCGTACGGCGGTGTTCCGTTTCGCGTTCGCCCCGAGGATAAATCATTCGCGCGGACGGCTTATTATACGGTCGGATCCGTCGCGCGCATTGCGCGCATAAATGTACGCACGCGTGTGTATGCGTCCGCATCCGCACGCGGTATCGCCTGCGCGTTATTATTGTCGTTGTTATTGTTATTGTTACGAACGCGGATATCGACGGGGACGGCGGCGGCACGGTACGCTCAATGTCCGTAAACATCGAAACGCTCACGGGGGAACGGAGCCGCCGGGCCGCCGTTCTCCGGTTTCGACGCGACGCCGGTCGTCCGTCGTCGCGTGGTCGAGAGCGCCCGCGGCGTTCGGCCCGGAACTCTCGAGCCCGGACACCGCCCGTACGCGTTTGCGGGCGTTCGGACGGGACAAGCGACGCGCCGCCGTGAACGATAACCGCGATCCCCGGACGAACCGCGGAACGACCGTACCCGGCAACGGGAATTCGAAATCCGGACCGCGTACAAACGCCCGATCCGTGTGCGACGAGTCGTGCTTTTTGCGGACGTTGCGGTTCGCGCCGAAACAGAAACTCGCCGAACGAACACTCGCGGTTATCGTTATTATTGTGTACCGACGGATTGGGCGAGAGAAATGTTACGCCGGCGCCACCGTCGAAGGAGCGCATAGAGAATATCGCGGTAACGCGTGAAAGTGAACACGGACCTCTGCACGGGGACCAAAACGAAACGAAAACAAAAGTCGTTTAATCGGTCGTCCTGGGGACCGCGATCGTTCCCCTCTTACACGTCGGTCACGTATTGCGTCGGCCCGTCTCCCGCTTGTTCCGTTCTTGGCGCGATCGCGGCGGTCGGTCGTCAAACCGCAGAGTTTTCCGACAAACACTGACGGTGACTACGACGGGCGGCAAGTATCGTTTAAGCGTGTTGCACGCGGTATCCAGTTCGCGCTCAACTACTATCCTTTTACCCGGCGGGTTGACGGAAATCGAAAACGCCAACGCCGAAACGCATTTAAACTAACAGGTACTACGTGTATTTGTGATTTTTTTTTTTTAAATATATTTGAAAATCGAACTGAATTATGTATAGGTAGCCGTTTCGCCGCCAAAAATCAAGGTGACAAGGAATAACAGCAGTGCAGAGTTTTAAAGATGCTCTTTATTTAAATTTTCAAAAAACAAAAATCCAATAAAGTTAACGGTTTCCAAGACATCACAACCGGTACGTCTTCGTGAGACACTGTGCATATTGTATGAACGTACAGTGTAATAGTGTTTCTGGGTTTTCTCGATTACGCGTGGAAAATCCGTATCCTTAATACTATGCAAATAGTTACATAAATAATTGATAGAAAATTCACTGTGCATATTTCGTTGGGTACCGTTTCAAATACTGCTCAGAAATGTGCCTTTAAACCACATTTTATTTTGCTTTCTTTACTTGTTTTCCTTTGTTCTTCCATTTCTTGTTAATTTAAAAGAAAAAACAAATTGAATGCGTTGCTAAGCAACAATGGTCTATCGAATGTTTGCAGGTACGGTAATGAAAAAAAAAAGAAATCAAGTATGAACATAGAAATTTCTAAAATATTATTATCTTATCGAGTACTAAAAAACATTTGAGGACGATAAACGTTCTCCGCGAAAACGAAAATTTAACAATAATTTATTTGCGACCTTTAAAAATAAAAAAGACGATTCAATGTACGCTCGTCCGTAATATTCGATTTTTTTCTACTCGGTCTGATAAATTCCATTACATCACCACGTACTTTGTATACGGATACGCTAACACGCACACATTACGCGTGCGTGTGATATGACGAAAGGAGTTGTAATTTGTCAATGGAAATACTATCGTGATGTTTCATAAATATTTAAAGAAAGACATTTGCGCATTTATTTTATACTCCGCGAGAAACTCGCTAAAAACAATGACGTCAAAAAATATTACACGCGGCGTATGGTAACACAATATTTACATTACTTATTATTATGAAGACAGAGTGCAATTATGGTTCAATGTTTATTTTGAGAGAAATAAAAATGTTACTCGGCGAATATTATTTTAGACATTTTTCGTCATAAAAAACCGAATGTACCACACTGTTAACCGTATACTCGTATTATGCTATAAACCCGTAGGACCATAGACATAACTCGTATGATAAATAGACCGAGAATGATGATCGTTTTACGTGCATCGAAACCAACGTATTATTATGCACATGAAAATCTAAAGAAAGAAATAGTAAAATTATAAAGAATGAGTGAAATGCGATTTTTTTTTTTTTTTTGTGGCGAAAAAAATGTGTACGTTATTATTATTCATTTATTACGGAATAAATTTCCAATCACATTTTAAATATATGAGATAGTAACAAAAAAAAAAAAAAACAGTAACGGAAAAAACATTATTAATATAAATATAAATCAAGTTGCATGATGTACATAAAACGTATAAGATAATGAAAAACAAAAAAATAAAAGATGAAAAAAGAGAAAAAATAAAAAAAATACTAATGAATACACGAAGAAAGGTCATTAAGTGAAGAGTGAAATAAATCTATATTGTTTACAGAATTTCCTATAGACATTAATATATAAGAAGGGGTGAACAACATAAATTTGGTTGAAAATATTCGGCGGACAGAAAAGTTGTTCGTGTCTAGGATTTCGAGTGTTTGTTTCGAAGTGAAATCGTTCAATCGGTACTGGACGATCTATAATATTGTTTAATAATTTTTTTTTATTATTTTTTTTTTTTTTTTTTTTTTAATACGTACAACATGTGTGTTTGTTTCCGCGATAATTACGAAAATTAAACTTGCCGACTTGATGCGTTTTCGAAAAACCACACGAAATCAGTTTTTCGTACTATTCCTAGACTGCTGCAACACTATCTAGCTGTTTTCCAGGTAACGGTGACGAAAATAACAAACAATATGTTTTTTTAACACATAAACTAGCGGTTCTCAAACTTTGGTTCTCGGTTGTCTACACGGTCTTATGCAGACGTGACCGAGCGGCGGTAAGATGAAAACTGTAAAAAAAAAATCTTTGTAAATAATTATTGTATTGTAGCATTTTACTGTTTAACCATTTCGAAACAAATTTAATGAAATGTTGAACGATCCGATGTTTAGCCACACGTATGCGTGCTACCTGCGCGAAAAAAAAGTTTTGAGAACTTCTGATAAAGACCATTCGGATGCTTGTCGTAACCGCCACTTCTCTCCATACGTTTTCGTCCGAAGTATTTTTTAATCAGACGTTGCCTTGAGCAGCCTATGTCGGTCTTTTTACCCTCCGGAATTCAATTTTTCACTCGTTCAATTATCCGTACCATGCGCGTCCTATCCAGCTTGCCTTTCCACGTTGCACCGGTGGCACTATGTCTAAACCATTTGACATAAACGTGTATGCAGAAATGTTTCACGTGTTCAAATATCCCACCGAAATGTTTGGTCGTATATTGAGTTTATTAAAAAAAAAATAATAAACCCGTAATAATTTTCAACAATTGATTTTCAAAAAAAAAAACAACTCCTCGAAAACTGTTTTTACATACGGTCCCGACCTAATATATGTATTAAACTCTCGGCGCTTCATTGTCCGTATTCTCTCGGGTTTCGGTTTCATTTAGGGCCGAATATCTGCCGCGGTATTTTTTTTTTTCCATTCAAATTTGCCTGAGGTTTGTTTATCGGTTTTTGTCGTGAGATCGTAGCACGAGCGTTACACACGGATTCAACGCGATTGGGCGTATAGTCGCACTATATTATAATAAAAGTATCCGCTCGTTTTATGACTGCCATAATTGTAGATGCATTTTTCAGGCTCCGTTCTCCGACCGATTATTATATTAAATCGAAATCGCCCGGGACGCGCGTCGTTATTTCGCGGGCTCATTCCGCGACGACTCGTAATGGAAAATATCTTCACGCGTGCGTTTCCCAGCGCAACATTACATAAAAACACGATTGCATTCGAGCAGCGTACGTAACGGCCGGAACGTGCGAAAAGCCAGCGGCGTTTACGTCCCACGAAAACGATAAGGCATTTTTATCGCCGTCGACCTTCGGCCGGGGCTAACCGGGTTACCGAACAATACGCTACGGAATTGTTGGATTTTACCGCGGCTCCGCGGATGTATCACGGTGTGACCCGTTCTGTACCGGTCGTGCCGATCGATAAAAAAATGCTCATTCAAAGTGCGCGAAAACGAAACCGGACGGTTTTGTGCGCGTCGTTTACAGACGAGAGTGCGCCGCGGGAACGCTCGGAAACTTAACGAATTTGTCGTTTCGTTACGTGCGATTGTCATCGGGCACGGTCGTACGACTCGATTTACACCGTTTTTTTTTTCGGCGGGCGTCCGGATCGAAATTTAATCTCCTCGATACGCCCGCGCGCGGCCGCACAACGCCCTGAATAAACTAAAACGCGCGCGTCGCGTCCCCCCGTCCAAATAACGCGGCGACGGCGGCGTTACGACTTTTGATTTGCATACGAAATCTAATAAAACGTTACGCGCGCGCACACACACACACACACACGGACGCACTTAAAATACGCATACCCGCGTTGTCGTGTTATGACCTAACCATACGCGTACCGCATTGCGCGGGAGCAAACGACACGTGAAACGCATTTACCCTCCCCCCCCATCCCCCCATATCGCGTCGAACCGTCTCCGATTCAAAGCTATCGGGACGTACCAGTACTGCGCGCGTGTTTATACGTGTGAATACGATTGTGTGCACGAACTCACTGCGAGCATTAATTGTAATGATTTACCGCGGATATCGCGTCGCGGCGTTCGCAACAGTATAAATTATATACGGCGCATTCGCCCGGGGGGGGNGGGGGGGGGGGGGGGCCCGGATCATCGGGACCGATCGGCACGACGGGTCGGTCATGTCGGCACCCCCGACTTGGAATTTCCTTTAAAAAAAAAAAAAAATGCTCACCGACGGTTGTTGTTCTATTTGTACGCGTTCCGAAATTCCGAATTCGTGCACCGGCCGAAAAATTCCTTAGTCTGGTGTTTTGAATCGAGAATCGAATTGGTTTATTAAAAACAATCGACATAAGAAAATGTTTATATTTTATTTTTCCACGACTATGTAATTGGATAATATATATGTATATATATAAAAAAAAAAAAAAACTACCATATGTCGGTAATTTTACATTTTTATGCGTATACGTTGGTATTCTACGGATTTTTTTTTTTGATTTTATCCGTCGGATATTTTTGTGTATTGGGTATTTTAAAATAGAATATCATGTGCTTCAACGGGTGTTTATACAACACGATATTGTTCGATCAATACATTAACCCGGACGGTAAGTACCGACAGAAAATAAGGGAGATATTTTTATTTATATTATAATAATATCGTTCACGTAAAAAAAAAAAAAAAAAAACTAAACGTAGATTTGAAAAAAACGAATTTAACCGAAATTAAGTATGTCGAGTAGGTAGGGACTCGTGTAATTATTATTTATTTTGATAAATCTGCCATGTAATCAACTCAAACTGAAATATAGATAATAATAATAATAATTGTATTGTTCTATTTTGATTTTAAGTTGTACGCGTTCGTAATATTATTATTCGTGTTTGTAAAATCGTAAGCGTGTTGTTTGATTTTAAACCTTAACTCATCGCGTGTAGTTTTTCCGGTGAATAAAAACCTACCGATTTAAACATGTATTTGCCGTAATCTCGTGAGTCAGTATAGTTACCTATATTCATAACGAGTTGTTATTTTATTGTGTATTGCTTGATTTTAAATTGTGATTTTGTGAACAGTTTATCTTTTTTTGTGCCAACGGTTCATTCATAACGTTTTAAATTAAATTTTGTTCGATTCCAAACAAAAATAATTCATTTCACTGAACGATTGGACGTAGCCCTTATAACGCTTTATTTGGGAATGATCCAAAAATTGGACTCGGTGCATCAAATTTGCCATCTGTTGAAGAAACTAACGACGAAACACTCCCTCGGACGTATATTTCAAATAAACGAAATTGAAAAACGCCCGATTGCCTGCAGCATTTGTAAAGCTGAAAATAATGAAATTGTTTGCCAATTATGCGATTCAAGTAAAAAAATACCAATTCAACGTGAATGTAGACATGAAGGTCAAATTATAGCAGTAGAAAAAATGATCAAGGTAGATAATAAAATACAGTTATAATGTACTTTTACTTTTTAGATCTTAATTTATTTATTTTTTTAACAGGAAACCAAAAAAAGAACTGACGGTTTCGAAGTTATTCAGTGCGTTGTATTCGATGTACCGAAAGTTGATAGGGGACCTACAGATCCCCTAAAAAGATAGTTCAGTAGTGAATGTATAAAAAAACCAACAACTTAATGTGTCACTACTGATCAAGTTGATAAAAATGTTGAATTTTCAGTGCGATTTTCAGTGTTTCAGAGAAACGATTAAAATACTTCAGGAGGGCGAGGATTTTTGTCTTGTTCGTGTAAGGCGAAAACTCCTTGTTAATCTAGTAGGTGTGTTTGTTTCAAAAATAATATGCTATGTAACAGTCGATGTCGTAATCAATCGCCATGTAAAAATAATTAATAAGGAAGAAAACTATATAGATATAGTTTATTAATTATTGTTTAAATAAAATTAAATGTTAAATTAAAAAACTAATTTAATAGTCTGGTTGAAGACAATAAAGAATAATATAGAAGTTCATAGTGTTATTTTTTTGTTTATTAAAAAACAAAATTTTTTAACAATTACGCGCAAAGAGTATAATAGGTGTAAGTATTGTCCATTTCATGAAATGGATGTCAATATAATGTATTCTCGTCAAAATTCGCTATTTGGACGAATCTCACTATGTGGATATCCAGTTCATGAAAGTAGCCATTTCACCAAGTGGATGCGACGTATACACAACAAACGTGTTCTTCTCTTAGCTTAACGGTCCCTGGACTGCCACAAGCAATTATCCACATCTCTTTCTATTAAATCCTAAATCAACTGACGCATTTTTTCCAAACATTTTTTACATCTTTCTCTACAGCATCTGTCCATCTCGTACGCGGTCTACCTATTGGCGTTTTCTTGGTTTTAGTTAAATTGTTTATGATATTATTATCGGCTCTCGGTACGTGCCCGAACTGTTCCGTTCTCTTAACTTTTACGTATGATGAAATATCGGGTATGCCATTCAATCTATATAGTATGTAAAAGGCTATTTTGTTTTATTTCTTATCATAATAAATGTTGAAAAAAAAAAAAAAAAAAGGAACCGTGAAATGTTGTAACGGCAACAAGTCAACACGGAGGAAAAATGTGCCCGCGTCGTTTTTTTTTCCTCCGCGCTATACCCTTTTTTTTTTTTTTTTATTACGTATACGTGCGAACAAGAACGCGTCGTACAGACGATGGATGAGAGTATATAATAATAAAAATAATAACATATTATTATCGCCGTCTCTCGGTCGCGACCGCGCACGTAGTCCGAGCGATGTGAAATGTCGCGTTTTCCGGTCCGGCAGCCGACCTATTCGGCGACGGAAGAGACGTCAAAAGCGCCCGGGTTCGCCGACGACGGGCGGTCGTCGGCCGTATCCCCGACCTACTACTCGAGATTAGGTACTCCCCTGGCGTCATCGGTTTAAGTACACACGCGTGTACACCGTCGCCGCGCGAGAAAACCCGTACAAATCGATTTCGAATTCTCGTGTATACATATAATACCTACGTTTTTTTTTTTCATTTTCATTTTCCCGGTGTCGTTTGAATCAATTTACTCTCGCCGAGATAATCCTTCTCCGTCGCCGCGAAGACGTGTACAACGCTCGACGTATATAGGTATAGTGTTTATGTATGCGTATTCTTGCATGCGTGTGTTTGTGTGTGTGTGTGTGTGTGTGTGTGTGTATATATATAGAGTGTTTGGAAAGACAGCTACAGTCTAAACAAACAAACGGCTACATTGAGCGGTGGTATATCAAAGGACGCGCGGGGTGGGATAGTAGTCCTATATGGTTATACGTATATATTATTATATTCTCGGTCCTCCGGGTACTATTTCGTCGCCGGGAGCGTAGCGTCGCGTCTGCAAACGGAATGGGACAAAGGAGGATCGGTGTACAGGATCGGGGTCGGCGGCGCATGAATCAGATGCGGGGAAGTCGTCGGCCGGACGTCGAAGACCCTCGGCGGTACACACACGAGTGCAGTTTATGTGTGTGTGTGTGTGTGTGTGTGTGTGTGCGTGTAGAGCAACAAAAAGAAAAAGATAGGAAAATGACGGGGGTTCGGGAGGAGACAGGGGACAAAAAAACCGAAGAAATTATTTAACGAGTGCCCCGGAGGATTTATATATATACGAATACGAATACGGCGCCGCGAGGGGAAGTAAAGAGGCGGAGGAGAGGTCGGAAAATGATAGCTTATATAAATGTCAACGTATAAACAAGCAATAATTCTTGTTGTTGCCAAGTGCCGCCGAGTTTACCCCGTACGTGACGTCTGCGGGAGAGGATTGTGGAAAGCGGAGCAGCACACGCGACTCCGGGACCGTCGGACGCGGGCGCGCGCGCGTATGTGTGCACTCTGTGCACCGCCGTGTGTGGGGTGCTCCCGACCCCGGGAAATCTTTGCAACGAACGCACACGCGGACCTCATAAAAAATATTATCGTAAAAAGCAAGTGGAAAAATATTGTAAAAAAAAAAAAAAATGATACGCGTATATAAAACCGAAAGAAAGCTAATGCTGCTGATGAGTGTACTTCTGTTGTACTAGACGGGACGTCGGGACGGTAGAATGATCGCCGAGTCGTTTAATTTATGCCCGTACGCGACGGTAAATCGCCGCCAATAAAACACTATTCTGAGCGAAATTCGGTGAAATCGTGTTTTGAAATTCCGTGATTTTCGTCAAAATTTAATCTTGAAAAAGCTTAAATACAATTTGTTTTATAACGCGTTACACTCAATATTGTTTAACCCTAATACATATAAACTACGATGAATCTCGTGTGAAATTGAACGCCTTTCTGTTCGGCCAAACCGATTTTATGCGACAGATAAAAACTAAACAAAAACAAACGGACATACTTCGTACGATGGATGGCCTACTGTTGTAGGCCATTTTAATACCAAGCAATAAATTTAATACCCACTACTACTGATTGATAGGTGATAAAATTTGACTGCGAAAACGGTTTTTAGCGGGAAAAATCTATTCAGGTTGTAGGCTAATGATGAAAACGAATTTACTGTATAGAAAAAGGAGAACATTTTACTGTGCAACGTTGATAATATTTTTAGATTCAAGCGTAGCGAGGGAGCTATTGGTTTCACTAAGATATTTATTTTTTTCTTTGTTCTAGTCTGTAAACACGTTTTTTCTTAGTAAATTTGCTCCGAATTTGTACGTGTTGCAATTTTCTTGAAAACTCAAGATGTCTAGATGGTACTTTAAAGAAGTTATTTTTTGATTCTCGATGTCATTTTGTAAATAAAAGCACTTAAGTGGGAAAAAATGTAGACAAATGTACAGTTTCACGATTTCATAATCAAAAACACGGCCGATGTTTTCTACCAAAAAAAATAATTTAAACGAAAAATCACAGGATATCTTTTTTGTTCATTTCTTGATTTAATTTCTAACTGTATCATTTCCAAAACTTTTGAGCCACTTTTAGCTTTTAAGGTATTTTAATTTTTGTGAGTTTTTTGCCCATAAAAATTGGTAGTAATACTTATATTAGACTTACCTAGATTTGGTAAAATTTCCAAAATCATCAGACTACTTTTTAATTTTTTTACAATGGTACTATTTTTGTTTTTTTTTTATACACTTTTATCCTAGAAAACTTGTTCCGATGCATAAGTGTAGCATCTTTTCTGAAAGTCAATTTTATCTACTTGGTAAATACATAGGTCATTTTTTGATTTTCAAAACAGTATTTAAAATAAAAAGGACTAACCGTGAAAAAAAATGCGATTTGTTCATGATTTCGTTAATTTAAATAAGTGCTTAACACGTTTTCTAGCACAAATATGGCTCCAGTTGAAAAACGAAAAGAAACCTTTTTTTGTGTAATTATTAATCTCGTTTTTAATAATGTAGTTTGTTTTTTTGATTTTCGAATTAATTTTCATAATAATTGGGAAAAAACATAGGAATGGTTAGGTTAAACAAATCACTTTAAATTATGTTTTACCGAACTGCCCTCGGAATCGTCTTTCGTCAGCAATGGTTTATCGTTGCTTACAGATATTATAAATGAAATAATCGTATGCATCCCACCTTTTCCTCTACCAACTTACAACAATGGCAGTACTAATCACTAGTATCAGCTCTTTTTCCGTATTTCGACTGCAAAATGAAGTTACGAATGCTTAAAATATAATAATTTTAAGTTTTTTATACTCGAATAACTTAATTCGTAATAGTGAAACCGAAAAACTCAAACCAACATTTCACTGTGCGTGGTGTGATCTTTGTTCTATGATGAAAATCGCATTTCATTTAATCGAGTCCATAACCAGAATATTTTTTTTTCGGCGCCGAAGCGGTTTTTCGTAAATACTTTTGTTAATTTTACAACTATTACACAATAGAGTACTCGCTATAATGGCACGACACTAATTTTATTGTTCCTGTATACATTCGTACTGGTGAATTTGAATTAAATGTCAATTGATGAAATTTCATTTTTCCACAGATCCGAGAAAATCGCCCGCACACAACCCCTCGGACACGGAACATATTTTCAAACGTGGTAAAGAAGACGACACATTATTAAATTAATACGACGAAGACCTTCGGGAATGGGAGAGAACCAGTCGGATCATAATTTTTACCCGGATACCGTGTTGTTATCCTAATACAGGGGAATTATTAAAAAACGTATTGCACGCGACGAGTGTATACCTACACGTCATTGTTTACGCGGTATTACGACTTCGTTTTTATTCCGGGTAAACGCGTGAGTCGGTTGATAATATTACTATTTAATACGACGTATACCTAACTACCCTCGGGACTGAGATTTTTTAATTTCCCGACGTTTTCCCCCGGCGTGGTATTACGCGGTGCAGCCAACACACACACACACACACACACACACACACACACACACACACATGCATACAGACATACAGAACGACAATGCATTATTGTTATAATAACAATAAAATATTTCCGCGCGAAACGAACCTCCCGAATCCGGCGTGCGTGTTTCTCGACGTAAATAATAATAATACGGATATCAAAAGATTTCCTGTCGGGGCGACTACACATATTATTATTATTATTATAACGTTATAATATACGGCACCTCGAAATTATAATAATAATAAGTCGGCGGCGGATTACAGTCAATTATACTTGGTGGGAATCCTTTTATACGTGTATATATATATCACGGCGTGATGCGAAAGTTTCGTTATCCGAATGAATTCAAAAATTGGTTTTTCAATTTCGGTTTACGGTTTTCTCGAGTATTTTTTATTTTTATTTTTTTGGAAAAATGAAATTTTATCAACTTAAAAATGTAATTCACTTACATTCACGAACAAACCACCGCGTCGTAGTCATCGCACCACGTATTAATTATCATCGTGCAATCGCGGCGAGATTAACAAAAACGTTTTCGAAAAACCTTTTTTTGCGCGTTCGAAAACTACTCGGCCGAATCGCCGTCGTTATAAACAAAGAGAACATGCGACCAGCGACTGAAAAAAAGAGAACCGAAGTTGCGCGGATTCTCCGATTTCTCTGGTGAAAATTCGATTTCTTAGTGAGAAACGCGCGCAGAATGGGTTTTACAATCGAATTGCGGGCGGTAGCATTCTTAAAATAATCCAGTTCTAATATGGTGTGTTACAAATGTTCAATGTAACCCCGACTGGCCGCCCGGCCGCTCGTCTCTACGTACGGCCAGTGTTCGTATTCCTCCCAAACGCTTCTGACGCACGTCTCATATTTTACAGTGATGTCTGTGACCCGGGTCTTTATAATATTATACAGGCAAGGGTGACGTACAAAAAAAGCTTTAACTTTAACGTAGCCACGTTAACAAAAAAAAAAAAAAAACACACACTGTAAGATTTCGGAGATCGTGATGGTAGCCAATGTTGATCCATCGCCAAATCGGCAGCTTCTCCACACTCGATCCACCGCCGATAGATTTTTTCGTTTGTATTTATAATTTCCAGAGCGGCTGAGCTCAGTCATGTATGCGTCATGTTCGAAGACATTAAATTCATAAACAAGGAAACATTAAATACACACAATCCCTGTGCTAATTATTCATTGTAGGCAAGCTCGGACGAACGGGAATACTAAAATGTGTACACAATTTGAACCAATTTTCAAAATCGAAATTCTATACAATGATGCTTTTTAATACTCACATTTGTCTTAAATGGGAATGCCCTTTTTTTTCGGCACCAGATTCGGATGGTCCTATTTTGTATTTTTTTTTTCGTCTTTTAATATTATAACATAATTTGTGTAATTTTATTTTGCATTTTATTACCTACCTATCATTTTCACGTCCATAAAACAGTCGTCAAACGTCGTCACTTTTAAAGTCGCGCGTGACTTTTCGAACGAAATATCGTATAGTCGTGGTGTCGTTGTAAGTACTCACTGATAGGAATTATCAATTTCGTAGAAATGATATTCAACCGAATTCGTTCGCGTGTTCGATAAGTATCTATAAAATATTTTCACAAATTCGGTTTCGACGAAAACGCAAGAGCACTGCGAACGTAAATTATACGGTTGCAACGTGCACAAACTTAAGTATTCAATTTTGAGTTTCGTTAAGGAATTATTTTTAATTTACCGTAATTTCCGATCGGCATTGATTTGAAAACAACAACACGTCAAATACGAGCTATTGCGGTTGCTTAAAACGCTGACACGCGAAATACCTTTTTCGATCAGCACCCTCGTCGGATCCTGTCTTACAATTATCATAATAATAATTTTTCTACGCTGTTTTTGACATAATCACTGCGGGTTTAGATCTACATGGTTATTTTTTTTTTTATTTTTCCTTTTACGTGATGCATACTATTACATGTGTGCCGTATGTAATAATGCAAGTAATAATTGCTAATAACATTTTACATCACGGTTTCTTGTATAGACACGGACCGACCAATTTTGTTCCGGTGTAATGGAAATGTCTTGTTTTGCCCGTGGCACGTTTCGCCGTCACAGTTATCGTTAGCTGTCATTTTAACGGTATTTCGATTATGGCAATTTTAATCATCTATACGGTGCGGACATTAAACAAATAATGTTAACGTTAATCATTCGGTATGGACGAAGTGAGTGTTTGAGGACGAAATACAATAATACAGTATTGTTATATTTGCGTTATTATTATTTTTCATTTTTTAACGGGCGAGACCCTGGTTTACATAATGTGTATGGTAATATTAAAAGAAAAAGATTATACATATGAGTTTGATGAGAAAGATGTATACATAACCGATTGAAATATAGTTAAATTAAATTAAGCGAAAGAAAATGAGGTTCCATATCGGCGTTAGTCGTTAAACTGTTTAGCGGTTTGTTAGCTAAATATTTTATAACGGAATGAGAGACGTAAATAGGAGCCGTGGATCTGGTTAAATACTGAGGTGCGTCGAAACAAATGCGCGAAACGAGTTCAACAGATTTTATTTTGTCATTTAACAGTCGTTCAATGAAACGAATACCGGCAGCGCGTTTTCGTTCAGCCAATGCTGGCGTATCTGATGTGCTATCTGTCCTAATACGGTATTGCATCAAAGTGATCACTGTTTAAGCTTTCTCCGTGTAAAATAAAAAAAAAACCGGGAAAATAAACGATTCCCGCGGACAACTGTGATGGAACCGAGAATGGTGACGTAGTGGGGTTGAAGAGTGTACTGTCTTACGGAACAAGACTGAATTTGGCGGTTATTGGGCGAATTTTAACTATCCCACACGCCACGAGTAATCACTGTATCTATCGCTGCCCGCCGCCCGAGATAACCTGAACGGATTTTTGCGGATTTGTTTCAGTTATAAACGCTTCTTGGTCCCGATATTTAAAGTATTCAAAGTAGCTCGTTTCTGACCCGGGGCTTTACGGATCGTATTATCCGCTAATTCGAAGGAAATGTCTGAGGCGATGAGCTCAGTCTGAGACAGAAGGACTGATTGGACGTTCCATTCCTCGCGCTTTAATCTTGGTTAATATTATGCTATACAATGATTTCGATGTGTTACGCGATTAGAGATGTGTCACTAGGCATATACTTCATGGAAATATTCGTTGAGAAAAAAATAAAGTAATTAATTAACGTTGTTATTAATGACAGACGAATGACAAGTTGGAACCGGGTTTTTTTGTATGTTTTACATATTTTAAACCACAACCTTTAAACACGTATAATAATATTATAACAATGAAGGCATCTATCAATTTTAAAATCTAATGTTAACATTATACACATAAATTGAATGCATCTGTAATCAGAATTTAGTTGTGACTGCGTTTCCATTAAATCTATACTTGATATCTGGAGTTCATCTCTTTAAAAAAAGTAGTGGGTTAACAGCAAGTCCCTGTTTAGACATTTTTGACTTTTTCTAGCAGAGTTCACATAACATTAAGCATAGTAATGTGTTTGTATTTGTTCATAAAATATATAATCCTAAACGCCTGTATAGAGCGATTATTCAACTGATTGAATAAAATAAACTTATCTAGTTACGTTAATGATGGAAATCAGGGGTTAAAAATATTTGAAAATTATGGTATTATCCGTTATTTTATTATCTACGGAATAATCCTACACGCCTTTGTGTGTGGTCAAAATGCTGTCGCCACAGACGTCGTTTATGATGGAAAAACAAACGTTTTACTAATCCCGCAAAAACAGTAAAAAATATGAGACACAATAAACATAAAGATAATAGATTTATCATATTAACATGACATAATAGTTTGTTAAAATGATAAATTTTAGAAAAATATGACGAATTTATCACTTGCGCATGAGTGACTGGTCATTATGCTATTATAGTATAACACATTTTGGAAAATCGTAAACAATTTGTCATACTAAGCAAACATTTTAATTATTATTCAATATACGTACTAACACAATTTATAAAATTCAAAATATTACATATATATATACATGTATATAATATTATGCACATTATTTTTATATTTTGTGTGTTATTTATTTTCGGATTCGTCAAAAAATCGTCCTTTTATTTCCTATTATGAACAAATAATATTACTCATCATTTTCGACTGCAACAGTTTTGAAATATATATACGAACAACTCGCTGTTAGACAAATTACAATTTTCCCGATAAATTACCGGCATTCGGTATTCCGGTAGAGTTTTTAATGTTAACAAAATATTGTAGTTTGAAAATCGCTAAATGACTAACGATTTAATTTAAATACGGCGTTCTAAACGGTCAAAATCATATGAATATGACTCATGTCCAACTTGTTAAGAGAAAAGTATATCATACAGTGACTTATGACATTTAAATGAACAGTATAATTCACGTGTTAGAATAATATAGGTGCAAACGCTTTAGAATAAAAAAATAAAAGAATTCGGGTAGCATCCTGTGACAAACAAACTGTAGTTTTTCAAATGTGAACCTATATTAAAAATGCCATAAATAGTTGGAGTATTAGTTTAAATAAATTTTAACGAACATGAATCACCCTGTATATATGTACACGTTTTATCTTCGACAGAGAATATATTTTGAATTCCCCAAAACTCCACTGGCTTATCGTATGGTATCCGCACGACAATAATACACATTATTATAATATTCTCGTACGCGAATCCCGCGTGTTTCGTGCGATACTAACCGATAATTTCCTATCGGTTGCACGGCGTCGTATATCTACATAATATTATTATAAATAGATTCTGAACGAAATACTATAATGTCTCCGGAATAATAATGATAATAATTATGTTATTCTGTGTCGGTTTGATTACACGCGATGATGCGAACGATGACGACGGCGAAGGCTCGAACTAAAACGGCGCATCGATAATAAAGTGCCTGTATTTTATAATAGCTAGTCGTATGATATCAAATATATCGTCCTAGGGAAGAAGTGTCTAAATCAATTTTCTATAGTTTTCATTACGAGCTGATTAAATTCTGAAAATGTCCACGAGTGACGATTAAATAATTATAGACGTATTTATTTATGACTAAAGGGTATGGAAAAAAGAGCATCATGGTGACTCGAGATATTTTCAATTAGCAGTGGAACACGTGTTGAAATATTATTATATACACAATTTTGACATATTTAGACTGACAGAGAAAGTGAGCAAATTGAACATGACAAAATTAAACAAAAACCAAAATTGCCAAAAGATACATACCTACCGCACAGGCGCATCGAGTGCGTGTCTACCGTGGCTTGTCTTCGTGTGGCCTATACAGTGCCGACGTTTATAGAAAGCGATGGCCAAGAAAATGCCTGTTGTACTGGGTATACGATGGAATTCGAATATTGTGCTATCGTTGTACTATTATTGGCTATATTATTAAATCTGTGCTAAACAAGTGTTCGGACTAAGTAATCCGAACACCGAATTACCTATCCAGATCCACGTTATCGCGGTACTGAGGATTGTTACGAAATTCGATTTGTTTAAAAAATAACAGAAGTCCCGTGGTCGTTCCGTTCGGCCGGTTTTCAAAATTTGAACGTGCGTTGCAAATTGTTAATTTTTTTAATCCGGATTAATCGAACATTTGTTCAACGAGTGGCAGCGACGTGCGGTAATATTGAAAGCTTGGTAAGCGCCATAAAAAAAAAAAAAAAAAAAAAAACCCATTACTTATAAAGGTAAATTATTAACTACTAAGGTAAATAATAAAAAAAAAGTTTTTTTTTATAATGTACAGTACCTATTTATATAAATGTTTAATAATTCACTGACGAGTCTAGCTTTCTTTTTTTTTTTTACAAAATCATCGGTAACTTCACAAATCAAAACGGTTTTTAAATTAAAACTTCAATATGATTACCTATCGACCGGATAAGATAACGTTATGTGACGAAAGTGTGCGCCTTGTATTCGTTTACGACGACGATATGTGAGATTATTAAACGGTGGACGTTCGGCATCGGGAAATACGTGTCTAAAAGCATTGACAAGCGCCGGACGCGGCGCTTCCAAACGCTGCGTGAAAATCGCGGTCACCCCGGCCTACCAGGCCCGGCCGTACCTAGACGGTATACACGGGGGCTATACGAGCCGGATGATCGAAATCCCGGGCGCCTCTGTCAACACGTATTGCGTACTTATATGACATTAGCTTATTAATTTTCTCACCGATCGTTATACAATTACGAACACGGATAACGGGGTACGGATATTACCGGCGAGAGCGTATATCTGAAATTTAGAAAAAAAAAAAAAACCTAATTATACTGACGCATCGCCTATCGACACAACGAATTAAATGCATTTGTATTTCTCCCTTTTCGAAAGGGCATGCGGCGCCTACCTCGCTTGCCCTGGCCGCGCGGCCGCTGATAAGTGGTCGTGAACCGTACGCGTTCTCGTTTTCCAATGACGTTCGCGCCCTCGGGCCTGGCATCTCTTTTTTTGCACAGCTGTCGGTCAATTTTTTCTTTTTTTCTTTCGTTACGGATCTAATATATATGGAATAGTTATGCGTGCAAACGGTTTTCGTCCTCTATCAATCGCGTTCGAAACCCGAACGACGAAAACGAAATGATCAGTAACAATTATAAAATACATTACGAGTATTTTACGGGATGCTGTTTGTGTGCCTCGTGCATATATTTTACGCCGTCGATTGTTCAGCAGTGAAACCGTCGCTGCATACGGCCGAATGTCCCCGTCACGTCATTTTCCCCGGCTGCTCGTCGTTCTTTGTCAAAAACACGATATTCGAAAACGATTCGGAAATTTTAATTAAAACTCGAAGATGACGTCGATTACTGACGCGCCAAACCGCCGCCGGGAAATTTACCCGCACAACACTATATATGTACACCAACGTTTTCATAGCATTGTCTTTGGTTTGACGATAAATTTAAAATTCACGATGCGCGATATTCGTACAAACGAAGTACCATGTCTGTAGACTAGACGTAAACACGAGTGATTGTGTACATTGTACACTGTACTATGTACAGGGTGTAACACAACGACCTGACACCTGCGATAACTTTTGTACTGTTCGGTATCTGTGTACATATTTTTTCTTCTCGTAATAATTTCAAGAACCTTGCCCTACGGTTACATAATTTAATATGTTTTACTATACCGGAAATACAACACCGGTTTCATAAACATAGTTTTAAACAGAATTATCGCGTTAAAAATATTAACAAACGATGTTTCTACGATTTTTCGAAGTTTACAAAAAACCATTATGGAAATTTATCTGCGTCGACAAATTGGCGAATCGATTGACATTCTTTAGTAGTGACGATGAAAACCATCGTAAACTTCACAGGACTGTAGAAAATAAACGATCCGTCATTTATCGTAAATATTTTTATCACCGACGTTTTCTTTCCAATTTTATAAATACATTAAACGGCCATCTGGAATTTGGTAAAAACAAGTTTTTAAAAATTAAATTTTTTTATTTTTTGATTTAACTATAGAAAAATAGAGGGAATCACAGCGCAAAGCTCCAGTAATTACCGCGTCAAAAAAAAACGAATATCATTTCGGCATTTGTCATACATTTATCAGTTATACACACAGTGTACAGTATCGTCGAGTTTATGGGATTCATGAGAATCCCATTCGTCATTTCGAATTTCAAAGATGCTGTAATATCGTTTGGACGTGTTCTTTGTGTCCCTATGCAAACATGACGTTTTACTACGAAGTGAACGGTTAGTAGTTTTCGACCGAGTAGATTTGTTTCAAACGAACGAGATATTTCTCGTAACATTATGTATACAATTTTTTTTTTCCTTTTTAAATCCTTGTACTTTTCTTAATAACTGAAAAAAAAAAACGGTGAAATGTACGTACCACAAGAGGTTTCGACATAATCGATTTCCATTTAGATTCTGAAGGTACCGCCAGGTATATATTGATTTTACAGTGATGTTTATTTTTTTTTTTATCTGTGAACAACTTTTCTACCGAAAATATTGCTCAGATTTTCGATTGTAGCACGGTTTATGAAAGGAAATTGGAAATTTTTTTAGGAATTTTCATAAAAATTTGGAAAACCGGAAAAAACGCAGGAAAAAAGGGAGAATTTACGAAATGTATTATTTAAAAACAATTAATATTATGGCCTTACAACACACGTATAACCGAACTCCGCTCAGAATCTTTTTTCATTAGCAATAGTTAATCGTGACGTACATATACACATTAAATTTTCAATCTACCTTCCAACTGCTCACCTACAACGTTGACCCACCCATCGTACGAAGTATGTTCGTTTGTTTTTTCTCTTTGCGATTGACTAAAAAATACTCGTAGGGATCGCTGACGTTTTCACCGAATATTTGTATAATTTAAAAAGAATATTTCGTACGTTTTTGAGTTATTTGAAAATTATATCAACCTATGAGAATATAAATATTTGAAAATTCGACTCAAGAGATGTTCGCCATATTTTTATTATGTTGATTTCGGCTACTAGGGAAAAAATACGACTAATAATACATTGCTCAGAATTGTTTTCCATTAGCTGTGGTTTATCGTTGCATACAGATATAAATTAAATTATTCTATACATTCTCTATTTCAAATTTCATTCTAAAATATCGGCACATTCATCAGCAGTATCAGTATCAGCATTCTAACAAATATTTGAAGAACGCATTGTGTAATTAAAAACCGACCTCTGGTTTTTATCCGAGGCGAATTCATTTTGAGAGTAACAATAAAACACACAAACTCCGTTATTCAAAAGACACAAGAATCTCACGTGCTTAAAATTTAATGTTTAGATTTGCTTCATTTTTTTTTTTTTTTCGGTAAAAAAGCCAGGTACACAATACACATTGACCGGTAGTTGTCCTGAATGGAATGGCTAGTAAATCATTTTGAAACGTTAAAAATCTTTTCGATATTTAGAAAAAAAAAAAATACTCTCCGAATCCCCGCGTTAACTGTTACGACCACGACGACTATTTTAAGTAATAATAATATAGACATTTTTCGGTTTTGGCGCACGCAAGTCCGTCGCCTTGATGATGGTATATAGTCGAAAAGTGGCTTACGCGCATTATTACTCGTATTTCTTCCTTCCTCTCCCCTCATCACTCCTCGGCACCCCGTATCATTTTTCGTCCTTTCGCATTTTTTTTTTCTTCTTCTCTTATAAAATCCCTTTTTGGCCCGCCTCTGCGGCGTCACCGACACAATATAATGCGCGCCTCTTGACGTACTTTTTCATCACCATTATACAGCGTATATCTATATATATAAATACGAGTATATAACAGTGTATAACTAGTACACGATACTTTAATATTTTCTCGTTTTTAAATAAAAATCTACGTTCGGCACCGCGGCGAAAACGACAACGGTATAATATAAACGCCCGCGTGCAGCTGCTGTTTTTCGGGACTCCGTAATTCGGTCTAAATTCGTTTTTCGGATCCATCCCGACGGCGTCACCCGCGTGAATTAGTTTTCCGTTCGACCGACAGTAGTTGCGAATACGGGTTACACTCACTTCTCCCCGGGCGCTAGGGACAAAAAATACAATGGCAGACGAAATCGAGATTTAGGTAATACTTACAACTTTTCGCAACTGATTCGGGTTGTCGACCGTGAGCTATCCTCGTCGTCTTAGCCCTACTCACGATTTGTGACTACCGGAGTTTACACTTATCACTAAACTAGGCGCGTGTATAAAAATACACCATAAAACTTTCACGATTCCCGATTTGCAGTATACGAGTACACGGAGGAAATAAATCCGGTCTTTAAACCGGTTTCTAAATTAACTACAGGTTACATCGGAAAATTTACACGAACGAAACCGAATTTATCATTTCAAGGATCATTTCATTATCACGGATATTCGTATTTAACCGACGCGCATTACCGGATTTAATACGTGTGACCTAAACACTCCAAGACGAGACCTACGCGCAGTGACGGCGTTAGCTGAATTGCGTCCCGTTTGTTGAAAATTAAGCGAATCGCGTCCTTAATACTATGATGTAATAATCTCTCTGGAACACCCACTTACCAATATTGTACACGTATAGAGGTTATTCGGGCGGATTAAACACGGAAAACGAAAAAATAAAGACCGGAAGAGAAAAAAATAATATGCAATACAGAGTAGGTATGTACGAGCGCCGCGATACACAAAACGTGAAGTTTTACTGACGCGTTAATGCGCTCTTGAAACGTAATGTCGCCGACACAATGGCCGTCAAAAACACTGTAGTCGGAGTTTGAAAATTCCCACAGCCAATTACATCGCGTCTCGTCGTCGCGGTCGTAGTCCGGATAACATCTTTTTTTCGCTCATAAAAAAAATAAAAAAAAATAATAATCATAATAAAAGAAAAACACATTTCACGGACCTAAAAAAAAATATTAATAATTAATGAATTAAAAATGACGACGGCTACTCTCGTCGCAATACCGTTTTGCTGTGTATATATAGGTATACGCGATTTTTTTTTAAAACTACCATGTTTCGCATACCGATTCTGTAAGAAATGATCGATGGTATTTAAATACCAGTACGTCCTTACAATATTAAAATGTCGTCGAAATAAACGGATCGATTCCTATACGTTTTGTATCGAATACAACAAAAACACCTATAGCAGCAGAAATCCGTTGCTAGTTTTGTATTTTCCACCGCTTATTTCTTTACTAGTGAAATATTTTTTGCAACACAATTAAAAAACCAAAAATTATTATAAAACAACCAAAAAAATTACTAAACATTATACAAATTTCAAAAAAAAAAAAGGATATTCGGAACGGGGGTCGAAATTTTAAATTTATTAACAAAACGATTCTCGCGTTCGAGCTTATTTGGTCTATGGGGAGCCACTGAAAATTTCTAAAAGTCGGCATAATAATGTCAGATAGTCACTATTAACTGAGAAAAATTTTACAAGAATTAAAACAATTCAAACGAAGTAGTACGGAATTTTTCCCTAAATCGTTGAATTTTTTTCAACATCATAATATAACAAAGAAATAAATTCGTTATGTTATCTAATGAAGCAATTTGCGTATTCGCGTGATTAATAAAAGTGTATTGCAAAATCACCTGAATTAAGTGGCCGAAAAACGAACCTTATTGAAATTGTTCAACGATACTTTCAATACGAAATTCGTCCGATTTTTATTTCTTACATTTGTATTGTACAAGCGAAAATACACATTTCGAAAGAATTACACGGCCGTATTATAATGACAATTAATAACTTATAAATTCCTTATATATAATTTACGATTGGAAATGTCGAGGTTCTTTGGGTATAAAAATATGACACAGCGTCCCACGAAGATTCGACAAATACAATAACTTTTGTTCCGTCTGATACGTTGACATTTTTTGTTTTATAATAATTACTGAAACCTTGCGCTATGTTTTTATTTTATATTATTTATTTATTTTTTTTTTTCATATCGTTTTAAAACTAAAAAAAAAAACAATTGTATTTTTTTCACAAAATCGACAACCCCCATTTCACGAATACGTACGTAATTTCGAATAAAAAACGTCCATGTCAAAAATATTTACCGAGGACGTGAATCCAATGAAACGTTTACGCGACTTTTCGACGTTCTCGAAATTCATTAATAAAATATTATTTTCGATTCGCCGACAAAAATCGGCGAATAAGATCAAAACGGTTTGATTTTCGAACAGAACGAAAGTTATGGCGTTTGTCGAGTTTTACTCCGAGCATTACGAAAACGATAAAAACAAAAAGGAAAAAAACAACGATTACACCGTATTACTTTCATTATTATTACGTTCGTGATAGATTATGTACAATATAATACAATTAATATTCGCGATGGAGGATTCGTTTTCGTACAATCAATCGATACAGAAAGAAAACAAACTTGTAAATCTCTTGCATGTCTCCAGCGGGCATTTAATACGAGAAAACTCGGACGGTTCCCGAGAAAACTGTACAGAAAGGCACTCACACTCGCACAAAGGATATAAATTAAAGGAGAGAGTAATTCATTGACTATGGGTTTTCCAGTATTGTGCATAATTTTTTTTTATTTTTTTATCTATCGCAGTTGTTGGAAACTGCGATATTACGGCTTTTTATAAAGTGAAAATTATATTGCATTTTCTCTGATATAATAATCATAATTTTAAAAAAAAAACGGTATCGCCGATTTAAAACGATATAAATAGAGAGTTGCAATTTCCAGAAACATCAGTTTTATCTCCGGTTAGTATTCTGCCTTTCACTCGTACGAAATATCCGAACGCGTAAAACACATTTTTCAGTTTCTCATTCAATAATATATTCCAGAAAAATATTATAACACAAAACAAACGAAGAAATGGCGAAAACTAACGGTAAAACGATTTCCGGTTTGTTTTATTTCTATTTGTATTATTTGTTTGACGAATTATAACGACATGTCTTTATTCAACAGCAAGAGCATTTCCAAAACAATTTCTACTCGGCACGGCCACGTCGGCTTTCCAAGTGGAAGGAACATGGGACGAAGGTGCGTAATATACGATTATGCATTAACAATTAATATCGAAACGGCGTTTTTTTTTTAATGGAAATCAGATACATTCGAAACGAAAATCGGCGCAATATTTTGATTGAAAAAAAAAAAAAATTTTTAATTCCGAGTGTAGCGAAGAAGCTATATTTAATACAGTTTTATTAACACGTATGTTTTATTTTTCTCAGAAAACGATTCATCCGGTAAAAACGTTTCGGTTATTTTTTACGTCGGACATTAAATGACGCGAAATGTTTTCTAAATTTCCTACTTGATCTGTAAAAATTTAAAAAAACCCCGACACCTAATGACGTAACATAAGGATTTTACATCTGTTTATTTCCGGGTTATATATATATATATATGAGAGAAAAAAACGCGACTAATTTTGTTTTATCTTGCCACAAGATTACCGAGCCATTAAAAAATCCTACGATATCCCGTTATATAATTTTAGATTATGAGCATATTGAGGGATCTAAACCTAACTATGTATAATATAACGTATAGAGAAAATCATAAAATCGCATTTTGAAATCTAAAATTAAAATTTTCGGAATTCGAGAAGGGAAATACGGATTTAAGAATAATCCATATTTATATCACGTCACTAACGGCAATACACACGCATCCGTACGGGCACTACAAAACGTATTACTGTAGCAAACAATGGGCTTTCGGTGTGTCGGTGTCTGTTTATATGTAATCTATAAATATTAAGTTGGTCCAGAGAAACTCAATGAAAAAATTCGAATTTCGTGAACATGTTGACTCGATAACTCAACCCCTCCCCGTGCCAAAAAAACGGTTAAAACACAAAACTTCCACCGATCGAAACAAAAATGTTAATTAAACTAATATCGGTAATAATTGGTGCATGTCTGTCGTTACCGACTGTCGTCACTGTAAACTGGACGACGTTTTTGTTTATCGTTCCGAGCCACACAAGTGTGAATCGGGTTTTAGAGTGACATGGGTGTCCGGCCTATTTTTTTTTTTTTTTAGGAAAATCGCCGTCGATGTGGGACGATCACTATCACAATATCGGAGCGAAAAAGACGAACAAATACTACTTGGATATGCCGTCGTCGCTTTACGATCAATACAAGGCCAAAGGTGGGCAACCGAGACTGGTGGACGAGTACAAAGGAATGCCGGTGCACGAAATTTCGGCGACAAAAATCATCGATGAAAGTTACTCCGACTATAACGGAGATGTTGCCGCGGACGCATACCATAAAACGGATACGGACGTTGCGCTTCTCAAAGAATTGGGGGTGAGTTTTCGACGACAAACCGTTAAAAAATCGTGAAAATGAAAGAATTGTACATTTGGTTTTTTTTTTTTTTTAATAATATTATGCAGGTGAATATTTATCGGTTTTCGATATGTCCGATCAGAATAGTTCCGGGCATACATGGCAACGCACGGGGACAAGAGGGACTGGACTATTACAACAGATTAATCGACAAATTAATCGAAAACGGAATTACGCCTGTGGTACGTAAAAGTGGTTGCATCGCTAGACAAAAATGTTTTTGAATAATTTTTATTTTATTATATTTGTTTTTTACCGACACACGAAAATACACAGCACCATTTTATACTATTCTACTATTCTATAATCGTAATAATATATTAATTCTCTACAGGGTGTTACACAAATATCTGACACCTCGAATAACTTTCGTTTTTTTCGATGTTATTAAGTTTGTGTTACCCCGCAAAAATTTCTAAAATCTTGCGCTACGATTTCTTGTTTTAAATTTTGTAGAAAAGGCTATTAAAACGGAAATCCGGCGTTGCAAATATTTGCTAGTGAAGAAACGATAATTCTATAATATTCTACATGTTTTGAAGTTTACAACATTCATTAATTGTTTTTCATGGACGAATTGGCGAATCATTGATATCATTTAGTAGTGTCAATGAAATCAATTCTAAATATCATAGATTTCAAAAATGTTCAAAAAACTAACGTGTTTAAATACGAAAAAAAAAAAAAGAAAGAAATTACGAATCAATTATAATTAATCATATGTAAATTACATTAAAAACGACATTACTACGACAGCTCAGCGAAAACAAATATTTTCGGAGGACATTTACACCCGTATACCGAAAAGCTTTTCGAAGCGTACGCCAGACTGTGTTTCAATACGTTCGGCGATCGAGTAAGTTTCCGTCAACTAAATAATGTAACAACAATCAATGGAGTGCTCGTCGGGTTGTAGGTTAGGAGTATTACAACTTCACCAGTTGACATACGTATACAAATACTATTAACGTTTATTTGGAAATGTAATTGGGAAAAGTATATTGTTTCGGTCAATTCACCAGGAAAAGTCCAATGTTATGGTAAAACGAATTGGCTTTTTTGGTTCCCTATTTTAAAATTCCTATAGTCCGGTTCGGCAGAAAGAAAAATTCTACGATATATCTATTCGTGATGACATCCATCCTTTTAATCGAATAACCGTGCTATTTATTATAAAAAATACAACGAATATTTGTCATGTACGATCGAATAATGAGCAACATTATGAAACGCCCGCGTTTAGGTGAAACTCTGGACAACCGTTGCCGACCTACAAGTGATTGCCGAGGGATTCGGTTCCGAGCATTTTATACCCGGATTTCAGGAACACTAGTTCAGTGGATTTCTAGATTACATAGCGTTGAAAACCATGTTGATAGCCGCAGCCGAAATTTGGAAAGCGTACAACCTCGAGTTTAAGGAAAAGCAAAAAGGTATAAATTTAATATAAAAAAAATATTTTGCGTCATAACCAAAAAAAAAAAAAAACGGGGACAAATTTTTAAAAAAACTGTTCGCGTTTTACGAAAATAAAAAAAAAAACAAAAACATATTGTTATGATCGTCGTGTAGGAGAATGTAGCATCACTATCGAAGGATCGTGGTTTTATCCCGAAGACCCGACCGACCCGGAACATCAGAGAATAGCAGAACTCGCGCGTTTGTCGACCGTACGTGAACCTTTTACATAATAATTTAGTTTAATACATACTTCAATCAGTTATCAAATGTGATTAAATTCGTAGTAATTGATGTGATATAAAAAGATATATAAATTTCAGTTCGGTATGGTAGCACACGCTCTAGCTAATGGAGAGTACCCTCCGGAAGTCACGGCGGCCGTCGATGAAAATAGCTAAAGAGAAGGGTTTAAAGCGGATCGTCTGAAAAAATATTCGGACGACGACTAAAAAAATGTTATTGGTATACAATTTAATAATACGATTGAAAAATCTTAAGGAATCTAATAGCAAATAATAAACGTACTGTTTAAAGAAAAATGTCTCATTAATTTAAGTATAATTTTTTTTTTTTTTTTAACGGAAATATTTTTTTTCACTGAATTTCAAATTGGTGCATACTCATTATAATAACTCATTTAGGTACACTTAAAAATGTAGTTCTTATAAAAAATTTAATAAACAAACACTAATACAAGAACACTCAGATTTTATAATAGTGCAGGCGATCTCTTAAAACCAATAAACGTGTAAAAGTATGTGAACCCGAAAATGACTATTATATTCCCCGACACGTAGGATCGTACGATATCATTGTATTCAATTACTACAACAGTGAAAAAGTGAGACCATTGACCGCAGATGAAATGGCTAATGAATCGAATCGTAAGAGAAGGGATCGAGGTTATTTCATGTCGTTCAATAACACAACTCCAGCCGAAGTACATACTTTATTGTATTTAAATTTTAAACTAACAAATCTAACTCTGATATATTCTCGAATTTATTGTCGATTTTAATTATTCTAGACATACGAGGGATTTTTAAATTGCCTGAAATATATCGACCAAGTATTGAATCATCCGAAAATTTTCATCGGAGAAAACGGATTTCCCGAGGACGAAGGATGTGATAACAGTGTCCAAAAAATAGCTTATCATAAAGTAAGTAAAATATATTATTTATTCGTTTAATTGAAATGGTCATATGTCTACAGCAAAAAAAAAAAAAAAATCGCCGCTTTAACAATTGTTTAGATCATATTTATTCTAAGTGAATACTGAACATTATATTATTTTTTCAGGGAATTTTGAACAAACTTCTAGAAGCAATTGATCAAAACATCAACGTGTTTGGGTACTGTGTCTGGTCGTTCATCGATACTCTAGAATTCGGATTCGGCTATCNTTGTATTTATTTATCGGGTTTACTTAATTTTATCGTCTAATTTTAGGAAGAAACATGGAATTTACGCCGTAGACTTCGACGATGAGTCAAGGCCGAGGACGAAGAAAAAGAGTTTTTCGTTTTTCCAAAAGTTATTCAAGACAAAGATTTTGGAAATCGAAAATTAAATTTATTCGAAATATAGACGTAGTGAAATTATTAAAAAAAAAAGGGAAAAATAACAACTTTACATAGTTCATAAAATAGTTTTGATTAGACATATTGTGTATCGAATATTTATTAACAAATAAAAATAATTCAATAGTCTAAACTTCTATTTCTTCTCTAACCTTTTCAAACGGATTACGGTGATTCGTCTCCTCTTCTACAATCCTTCTCCAGTGTCCCGTGTTCGGTACCCTGTTTATGCTTAATGATTTCTTTGTTTTTGACATTTTTGCCACGTTAAACCATTTGGTGTGGTTTCCTCAACTTAATTGGTCTCCTACTCGGATTCACCACCATAACTTGTCTTACGAGGAAGATCTTACTATTTCTCTGCCCATCAAAACATGTACCACCCATTCTAGTCGTTTACTACGAGTGACTTAGTAAATACTTGGGTTGTTATAGAGTTTATCCATATCAAACTTCTTTCTTTCGAATATTCCCTAGCCCGAATTTTAGAGTACCTGGCCCATAAACTGTTCTCGACATTTTCCTCTCGAAACATGATGAGACGTTTTTCTTGTCTCCTTTTGAACTGGCTAATTTTTCACACGCTATGGGACGAAAGTATGTAGTGTAACCCAATATTTCGTTTAACGTGACCTCATTGAATCATTAGCAGTTTAGTAGCTTTTGTTCGCCACGCTCTAATCTCGATTTCGTTATATTTATTAACATTTCATATACGGGATATCACGCCGTCAACGAGGTTACGGATAAAAGATTTTAAATAAATAATAAGAAACCATGAGAAATTTTTTTTTTATTTTTTTTATCACTTTATTTATATTAATAATTTTATTTTTTTTAACATTTAATTTACCGCTCTATTATAAATATCGAATTATTTATGGATATCATATCAAACTTGAAAAACTATATAAAACGGATTTTAGTTTCTATAACGCATACGTTTGTTCCTTTGAATAATTTTTTCACTCATGTTACACGTGGGTACTGCGCTTAATAATATTTTTACAGTTCCGTTCTTAATAATAGTAAAACATATAAATATTAGAAGTATAATATAAAGTATAATTAAAGTTTTCGTTTTATAAATAATCTAATGAAAATGGCAAAAACCAACAGTAAGATTTATATTTTTATTCGTACTATTGTATAATTCGACGGATGCTAATGATAATATTGATACAATACATTTTTTAATTACAGTCAAAACATTTCCGAAACAATTTTTACTCGGGACGGCTACTTCGGCCATTCAAGTGGAAGGAGCTTGGGACGAAGGTATACAATTGCGTAACGTATAATAATAATATCACTGTTATATCATAGCAATTTAAATGAATTTATAAAATACTACTTGAAATACATTATCCGGTTACTTTTTCGTTACACTTTTATAATTTTAAACTTAGCGTAAAATCTGAAAATTGCATCTACATTACAAATACCAAATTAATCGAAACGACCAATATGTTTTACGTTATACTAAATTACACTAAATTACAAAGAGATTATATTCGAAAATTAAAATTCTCCATAAATAGATTGAACGACGATTTTATTTCATTATCAAATATTTCAAAAAAAATGCATTATATATTATATAGATGAGGCAGGTTATATACAGAGTGTACCAAAACTATTTATCAAATTGAATATATTTTTTCTATTGAATATTTTTAAGTTTTTATTTTATTTTTTGTAAATTACATTTTGGCGCTATAATTTAAATGTATTTTATTTATATTTTAATGTTAGAAATTCGAAATATAAAAAAAAAAAAAATCGTTAAAGCCTTTTCAAAATATTATATACCGGTTGTATGCATGATAGTTTATAACGGTCATTGAAATATTTAATATAGCTAGTACAAAGTCCAAATGCTACAATAATTTTCTTTTTTTTTTTGTATACGAATTTTATAATGAAATTAGACGTTTTATTTCATTTTGAATATTAAAACAATCATTATTGCGTATTAATAAAAACTGCTGTCTGACTTACAGTCAGATTGAAATATAAATTATATTAAATTATAACAGAACAACGTAAAATAATAATTTTATTATCATTAAATTAACTATAGAGATAATGATTTTACTTTAAATACTGAAATATATCATTAATAAAATATTATAGCACATTATAGAATTACAATTGAAATGAGGAGCCACTCGGTTTTTAATTGATAAAAAAAAAAATACACCGGATAAAAAGAATTCAGTAAAATGTACGTACAATTACCTCACTAGTAAATTTTACCGGGCAAATGTACAGAGTCCATGTCTCTATGTGTCTGTCACGCATTCATCTGATACAATTATTCCAATTCCAATAAACGTATACTTATTTCTATACAATAGTGATGTGCATATACAATTTTGGAAGCTGGGTGCACTTTAACACAAAACTGCATTGCAATTATCATTAATACACAATATAAATTACGAATATTTGGGAAGTTGGTACATCTACAGTTTTTTCGTTAAAAGAATCTCTCATTAACATGTTGTGTCTCCACTGTATTACTAACGAAATATAAGCAGCAAAATTACACTTAGAACGTAAATATCGTGTTGTTTTAGTTTTAAATAAATTGGAGTTTAATCACAATCAACATAATTTAAAGAATTAACGCCATAATATAATAATCAACTTGGCTGTAGATTTTTTTTATGACAATTTGTTGAAAAAAAAGACTTATGTGCAGCACTAGGAAATATTCTCTTCTTTAGTTTTCATTGCAACTCAAATTTCAGTCTTGGTACCATAATTTACGTTCATAATATAAGAGAAAAACGATATAGACAGATTTTCACGGAACTAGCCTTTTAAGAAATTTTTTTGAATTTAGGAAAATCGCCGTCGATGTGGGACGATCACTTTCACAATGTCGGAGCGAAAAAGGCGAACAAATACTACTTGGATATGCCGTCGTCGCTTTACAATCAATACAAGGCCAAAGGTGTGCAACCGAGACTGGCGGACATGTATAAAGGAATGCCGGTGTACGAAATCCCTGCGACAAAAATCATCAACGAAAGTTACTTTGACTATAACGGAGACGTTGCCGCGGACGCGTACCACAAAACGGATTCGGACGTTGCGCTTCTCAAAGAATTGGGGGTGAGTTTTCGGCGACAAACCGTTAAAACATCGTGAAAATGAAAAAAATTGTACATTTGATTTTTTTTTTTTTTTTAATAATATTATGCAGGTGAAAATAATATTATGCAGGTGAATATTTATCGGTTTTCGATATGTCCGATCAGAATAGCTCCGGACATACATAGCAACGCACCGGGACAAGAGGGACTGGAATATTACAACAGATTAATCGACAAATTAATCGAAAACGGAATAACGCCTATGGTAAGTCTTACCTATATATTATATAGTGACCTAAGTGAGTGGATCAGAACAGAATGAAGTCCTTTCTCTTATTTTCGGTAATATTATCCATCCCTTTAAGTTTAAGTCTTTGAAGTTCGGTGGCACACTTGAGATATTGTCACCAAAACAGAAATTTCGAATACAATTTTAAAAACTCAAATTTGTTTTATTATAAATAAATCCTTTATTACCTATTAAATTGTACGTAATCAGAGTTCGTTTTACTTAATATTTACTAAGTGGGCATGATATGCGCGGGATAATATTTCAAGGGAGTGGTGCAGTTCATTCTTATATTAGTATAAAATTTTGGTGAAAATAATGTGTGCGATAGAAAAACGTTTTGGAATTATTGTGTCCACGATTGGTTTCCTGTCGGTGTGGTTATATTCAATTAGGTTTCGGGAACGCCCCTAAATTTTCGGTCAGTAAAAATATACTAACATACAAACAGCGCTCGAATTGATATAATAAATGAAGAGAAACTATGAGTCTTAAAAAAATTATCCTACCTTGCGATTATTGAATTCGACATAACACTTCGGTGGCATTAATCCCCGCACCGTCCTTACAAAACTTTTCAAATAAAGGTTTTGCCATATTAAGTGATTTATAAAAATAAAAAAAGAAACAACTTGTAATACTCCCACAGACCACGTTTTTTTTTCCTAGGTGTTTATATTTTATTTTGCGTACATTACCATAAAATATGTGTCGTTATAACATTGAATTTAAGTAGTTTAAAATACGTGTTTTTTTTAAAAAAAATATCAATTACAAAAAGAAACGTTTCATCCATCCGTCCAAGTAGAAATAACAAATGAGGGGACGTTAAATATATATATATATATATATATTATAAAAGTTTCCCGCAATTGAAGTACAGTATATTAAGTTTAAGTATATCTAAGAATAATTATATACCTAATACCTCATATCACAACCCAAAATTACCCCATAGTGCCGATTAAATATCTACGCAGTTGCGCGTCATAAACGTTTTAATAAGTAGTAAATTCCAATATTTTCTTCCTGTTAAATACTCTCAAGCAAATTTTGTGTTTTTTTTTTGGTCATTTATACCAATACCGATTATCCGGAATGACATTTTAATCTATATTAAAAAAAAAAAATCCAAAATATGCGATCTAAATATTCATTCGCACGTTACAATCGTATTAAACCATGAAACACATATTACTATAAATGAGCTATTTTTCTTTTGTTTATTCTTAGGCAACGTTGTACCATTACGACGGCTCGTCGGAATTAGATGTTTTTGGTGGACATTTACACCCATACGCCGCAACGATCTTCGAGGAGTACGCCAGATTGTGTTTCAATACGTACGGCGATCGAGTGAGTTATCTTATATATTATATACTATACGATAATATAAAAACCGTTTTTTGTTACGTTTTGCTGATTGACCATGGCGACGAAACATAAAATCCAAAATAGTCTTTCATATGACGGACATACAATTAGTTAGCATAATAAATAAAATTATCGTTGATATTTTGACAAGAATATTGTAAACTATTCGGTTGTAGACATATATCTTTGCAAAAACATGTTGTGTTTTATCTAGACAATTTTTTTATAAAATATGTATATTTGTTTCTTTTATCTTATACGGATAAATGAGAAACATATTATTCGAGATAAATAATCGGATCATCTAGAAGCTAGATACATTTATCCAGATTCGTATTTTTCACTCGTAGTTTAAATATTCATTAGAAATGATTAGGTAAAATAATTTTTATTGATAGGGTTTCATAATTTAATGAATAAAATAGACCAATCGCACAAGTTTTGCGAAATGTCGATATCTCTTTTAAATTTAGTACAACTCTAGCCAATCGATATATCATTATTTTTAATAATGAACAAAATTATTTATTTTATTCGAGCATAGACAAAAAGTTATTGATTGTTAATTTTCAACTAGATAATAAAATGTTTCCAGATGTAGATTCTGCTATTCATTAAGATAATTATTTGAGCAATTCTCTTGTAGCCTGTATTTATGAAAACAGTTAAAAAATGTATCATTACGCACAGCGATCAATTAACGCACGAATATTGTAACTAAAACATAAAACATTGTTATATTAAACGGGTATCTGTGTATTAAGGTAAAATATTGGACGACAACTGCCGACATACAAGTGATCGCCGAGGGACACGGTTCCGAACATTTTATTCCCGGATTTCAAGAACACAAGTTCAGTGGAATTCTAGATTACATAGCGTTAAAAAACATGTTGGTTGCTGCGTCCAAAGTTTGGCACTTGTACCGTAACGAATTTCAGGAAAAGCAGAAAGGTATAATACAATATTATACAATACTAATACCTATTATTAATGTACATTTTGACGAAAAAAAAACGATTCAATTGTTAACATAAATTGGCGTTTTATGAAAATAATGACGAAAATAGTATTATTGTCGTATAGGCGAATGTAGCATTACCATCGAAGGATCGTGGTTCTATCCTGAAGACTCGAACAATCCGGAACATCAGCGAATAGCTGAATTAGCGCGTTTGTCGACCGTACGTGAACATCTATAAAATAATATTTTTTTCCTATTTCAATACGATTTCTACTGCGGTAATATTTCAGTTCGGTATGGTAGTGCACGCTCTAGCCGACGGAGAATATCCTGCGGAAGTGACAGCGGCCGTCGAACGAAATAGCAAAGCAGAAGGATTTCCAGCGGATCGTCTGAACAAATGCAATGACGACGAAAAAAAAACAGTCATCGGTAACATTTTATTCAATAACAATTTAAGGTCTACAATCGAACCTTAAAAAACGTGAGGGTTTGGAGCTGTAAAAAGAATGAAAAAATAAAAAAAAATGTTTGTTATCGTTAATAATGGATTTTATATTCACGAAATTTAAACATTATCAAATTTACAAAATAAAATAAAATCATTTTTGCACGTTAAATCGGGTTTATGTACTACACTACTGTTTGGTATACTGGTACATTAAATATTTTGAACCCGTATTGTTTGTATAGTTCTTTAAACAGAATTATAATTATCAAACACGTATAGGGACACCCTGATTGGATTAATGAAACACATAATGACTTCTGTAAACTATCATAAAAGTATATGAAAAACCAAAATTTACAGTTCATCCCTCCATACTTAGGTGCATACGATTTCATTGTATTCAATTACTACAACAGCGTAAAAGTGCGACCAATGACCGCAGAAGAAATGGCTAATGAACCGAATCGTAAGAGAAGGGATCGAGGTTATTTCATGTCGTTCAATAACATAACTCCAGCCGAAGTACATACTTTATTGTATTTAAATTTTAAACTAACAAATCTAACTCTGATATATTCTCGAATTTATTGTCGATTTTAATTATTCTAGACATACGAGGGATTTTTAAATTGCCTGAAATATATCGACCAAGTATTGAATCATCCGAAAATTTTCATCGGAGAAAACGGATTTCCCGAGGACGAAGGATGTGATAACAGTGTCCAAAAAATAGCTTATCATAAAGTAAGTAAAATATATTATTTATTCGTTTAATTGAAATGGTCATATGTCTACAGCAAAAAAAAAAAAAAAATCGCCGCTTTAACAATTGTTTAGATCATATTTATTCTAAGTGAATACTGAACATTATATTATTTTTTCAGGGAATTTTGAACAAACTTCTAGAAGCAATTGATCAAAACATCAACGTGTTTGGGTACTGTGTCTGGTCGTTCATCGATACTCTAGAATTCGGATTCGGCTATCGGTAACTATTTAAAATTTGTATTTATTTATCGGGTTTACTTAATTTTATCGTCTAATTTTAGGAAGAAATATGGAATTTACGCCGTAGACTTCGACGATGAATCAAGGCCGAGGACGAAGAAAAAGAGTTTTTCGTTTTTCCAAAAGTTATTCAAGACAAAGATTTTGGAAATCGAAAATTAAATTTATTCGAAATATAGACGTAGTGAAATTATTAAAAAAAAAAAGGGAAAAATAACAATTTTATAGTGGTATTATAAGATTATTTTACCATATAATATATATTATTACCATCTTATATTAATGAAAAGTAGTGGAATATTACAGTGGCGTATTTAATTTTTGTAAAAATACAAATTTTAAATTCTTATTTAATTATTAAAGAATTTCAAATGTTATAGCGGTTAATTATTTATCGATAATTAAAAATTAGTTAATTTAGCTAATGCGCGTATTTTTTTTTCTTGAGTACACCTTCTTTTTTTCTTATTTTTTGTTTCTCTCGAGATGATTATTTAGTCAATTAATTTCGTTTAAACAAGTCAAAGAAAAACATATACAGGTATATTATGTTCTCTTTGAACGTAATAAATAATAACGCATGGTTATCGTTGCGAATACATACAGAATTTCCCTCCCCCCATGACCACCTTTTTACATAAAATGTTGTTTGAATTAAAAAAAAAAAAAAAAAAAATGGATCAGCAACCGTGAGTTCTTATAATATTCTGTCTGAAAGATATACACACATTTAGTTATAGTATAGGTCGGTGTATACACACGTCATACATATATATATATACGGTTAATATATTATTATTATTAACGTGTGTCCGACAAACGTAAAAAGATGAAAAAAAAAAAAAACTCGCCCAGTTTATAAACGCATAAAAGAAAATACCTATACGTGTGTGTACGGGTAGCATAAAAAAAAAAGCTACCGCGGGGCTAGCAGATAGACTGACGGTTGGGAGGGGGGGTGAACTGCTACTTGAAACCAAACGATTACTCACGGTCTGCCCTACACGCGGGTAATTCGAGTGAGACGTTGTTTTTTACGCCCTCGTTGCCGCAGTCAAAGCGTTATAAATTTCGTCGGAATCGCTCGACGACAACAGCGACGGGAAAAAAAAACCAAAAAAAAAAAAAAAAATATACGAATATGTAATAAAGCGTTCACGGCGTCGCAGTTTTGGATATTGCAATAATGACTGATACCGTCGCACGCACACATCCGTAATGTTCGTTTGCCTTTTTGAACAACTGCCGCCCACGCGTGTACGCGTTTCCTCGTCGAAACGACACTGCCCGCGCGCTGCAGCGCATCGCGCGAGCGCTTCTTCAAAAAACTCGCGTTTTTTATCGTCGCGCTATCGCCTATTAGATGAACATTTTTTTTTTTTTTTGCGCCTTACTGCTGTTTTAAAACCGATTCGAATTCGCGCGACGGTACACGTATATATATATATATATGTATATATGCATATTATAGATGCTCCGCGTTCGCTCCAGCGCGGAACAATCAATAAATAACGCGGTCGTACCCCGCAAAGTTCGACTGCCGCGGCGGTAGTCGACAGGGTGTCTAAGTTTCCAGACAACGAAAACGAATTAATCGAAAACTTACACACATATACCGAAGAGTCTCTTTTGCAATTTATTCTGTTCTCCGATCGCGTACGCAGCTAAACGAATATAGATATGCGATACTATACGATACTGAACTCGCTGATATCATAAACAAATTATTAATGAGTGTGTCGACCGTTTACGAATTATTAACCCGAGCGAACAACGGACGATTTGGACGATGGCCAAATATATAGTATGTAGGTAATTAGATAGTTTAGTCAGATCGCCGAAAGAATAACTATTAATCAGATAATTGTTTTTTTTGTTTTTTTTTGTTTTTAGTTTCTGTACTAAGCGAGAAATGTACTGGTGTAACCATAATGTGGTTTCTTTTCGTCTCCAAACAGAAATCCTACATGAATTTTCTTGTGGCATTTTTGATATAGTTTGTGCCTCGCGAAGACATTTTTCTTTTTTTATTTTCCTAGGAAATTTTCTTAATAAATTTATAAAACCAGCAACTTTTTGTTGATTACCGGGATACCTTGGAAACATTTAAAAAAATACGAAAAATGATGCTCTGTTCAAAACCTATAGTTCAATATAATATTATATTATGTATATATATTCACTATAGTCCACTTATATAAAATGTATACCTAAATTGCTATCATAGTTATAAATGGTACACATATTAGATAATACTTTTTCTTTTAATAAATATTATTTTGATTCAATTTCATTTATTTGTATTTCTACTGATACACAGAACCATTTACGCGAATCGAGTATATACTATTTAATGTAGATATGGGTTTATTTTGAGAAAACAAGATAAAAGGTCCGGTTAGCTTAAAAAAGCTTAATACATTTTTCGGTAGAACCGCGTAGGGATATAATTTTACAGGCGTACTTCTCCCGTCACGAAAATAAAATGAACGGTAAAAGAAAAAAAATTAAACAAACACTTTCAGATCGTGTAAGACACGTGAAAAACACATCCCACAGAGTGAAGTCAATAAACTTCTTGGTGCTCTCGTAGATTAGCATAATATTTTTTGCAATGACCCTTCCGTAATTCTGACGCATTTCGTGTGGATACCCCGTGGCGTACGGTAATAAGTTTTTGTTCCATATCCTCTACGAACTGTGTTACTAAAAGTATGTAGGTAACCTATTCAAACAGAAATGTCTGGAGAATTGTTTTATTATACTATTTATATTAAATTTAACTTTGATAAGAAATATAAAAATAGCGTCTTCGAGAAAATTCCTAGGAATAATTCCCATAATTTATCATCGACAATAATTATATTAATCACAATTGTGGGCCTGTATATTAATCACTGCGGACTGCGCATGCTTCTGCGCACATTCCCTAAACGTAAAACGACATCTGATAAGCAAAAAGCAGTTGGTACGCAGACGGAAAAAAAATAATAAATTTTTCATGTTTTTTTTTTTCTCCGCGAAAGTCATTGATTTATATAATTATATCATAAATAACGCCGTAGATTAAGTATTAAGCGTCGTGTTATCTATTTTATCGTTTGCGATAAATCATCCATACTTTTAACGGAGAAAACAAGAAATATATATTTATTTTTTTTTTTCTTCCCGGATCCCGGACTCCTTTTTTTCGTTATCGGATGCGGTCGGACTAATTTTCGCGCGAGACACAGTCCACCGTGTAGTCAATATTATTATACAGGTCTGTAGGTCGCGATATTACGCGTACGGAGCAATAAATAATTAAGAGGGATTATTTTCGATGTTCGGGCGACCGACCGGACGGTTTTCTTGCAAGTAGGTTTTCCGCGACCGAACGCAGAGCGCGCGTTCGCTCTCTGTGCGCGCGCCAGTAAACCTAATGATAATTATTTGCTATAACGGTTGTACTTGGTCGGGCACGCGACGAAATATTATCGTACACCACTCGGGAAACACTCTCACCGGCGGGGCGAGAACGGGGAACCCGGGACAGCCCGAACGTTAAGCGTGGGCTTTGGCCCGTCCGCTCGCGGAACATTATACGCGGGGCGAGCGGACGTCGCGCGGTGGATATTTACTACGAAAAAAAAAAAACGAAAAATACCCCGACCACCGACAGTCTAAAACTGTAAAACAATATCGTAGAAATCGTTATTTTCCGCCGTCGAATTCGGCGGCGCCGCGCGATAGGCACGTGTCCGGTACGCCATGAACGTAATAAACGCCCCGGGGGGTGGTGGGTGGGGGGTGGGGGAAATGACCTCGTCGTACGCGCCGCGTATGGCGCGGAACACGGCGTCGCAGAGACGACAACGTTGTCTTCGAGGCGTGCACGTAACAGAAACGCGACAACGTGTCACGTATGAGCGTAGCGACACCGCGAGAAATGCGTATCGGTACGCATTTCGAGTCGCCGCGATCACGCGGGGGGACGTTACGTTCGGCCGCCGCCGACGCGGGGGGGGAGGGGGGAGGCGGAACCGGACGGGAACCTAACCTAACCTAACCAAACCGCCGTACAAATTACCGTGCGCTACGCGCGATATATTTACGCGTGCGCGCGAATAGAACGATATCGTATTGTATTTATCGAATGCGACCGTCGAACCGCGTTCCGTTCGGCGAATTTACATTCGTATTCCCGTCGGACGTTCGAAAAACGAATCGTAGAACGTTTGCGGTGTATCGCGCCGAACCCTCCGGAAATCGTCGGAATAAACATTCGCGAAACATTTTCCGTGCGCCTACCGCACGCGTTACACTAATAAAAAAAAAAAAAAATTAATATTTTATTACAACATTCATCGGGGTTACCATACACATATTTGATTTTTGTACATTTTTTTTTCCCCCAGTTTTTCCTAAAAGAGTATAAAAACTATAAGGGAAATGAAAAAAAAAAAAAACATCTCTTTTCCACTAACTAGGTAACGAACCCAGATCGAATATTCTTAAAAAAAAAAATGTTCATTTACCGTAACAAGACTTCTGGTAGAAAATTTGTTTACAAAAGAAAACACAAACATCGCAAATCATTGTAAAACCAATACATTACTCACTGCTCTCAGAATCCAAAAAAAAAAACACACATCGTATAGTTAACAGTTACATTCTTCGTGTCGCCCAGAATCTAAATTTTACACCATGTGCACCAAAAGGAACAAACGTATACGCCTAAATCGTTTTTGCCGAAAACGTACACAGTCTATACACTACTATTATATAAAATAGATACAGAGATACCTATATCTATTAAAAATGCAAATACAAAAGCGTTTGATTATTAGTGATTATCAATGAGAGCCGGTGATGGAATCATTTATCGAATAATAAGTACAACCGACCGAGATACCGAAGACAAATGAAATTATAGTTTGAAAACAAAACGAAAATTGTTTAATTTCGCGCTCTCTTCCGAATAGTTTTGAAACTGTAGAACTGATATCGTTATCAGCTCTTTTTTTTTTTGTCGGGCGCAACCACTAATGTTAGTGTAAAGTTGGGAAGGTAGGATACATAAGGTTATTTCGTTTATATCTGTAAGCAACGATAAACCATTGTTTGATGAAAGACGATTTCGAGCGCAGTTCAGTAACAGGTACATGATTTGTAGTACCGTATTTTTTTTTTTATGATTTTCCTTTAAATTTGATTTAAAAACGCTTATTGAAAAATAAAAGTCGTCCGATGATTTTGGAAATTTTACCACGTTAAGGTAAGTCCAATATAAGTATTACTACCGCGTTTCAAGTCTCTACGTGTATTTATGACCTAATTACAGCGGAAAAACTCCCAAAAATTTAAATTCCTTAAAAGCACAAAAGTGATTGGGAATGATATAATTAGAAAGTAAATCAAAAAGTGAACAGAAAAGATATCCCGTGATTTTTTGGTTAAATTATTTTTTCTGGTAAAAAACGTCGTCCGTGTTTTTAGAAAACAATGAAATCGTGAAATTGCACGTTTTCCTACGTATTTTTCCCACTTACGTGCTTTTATTTAAAAAATGGCGTCGAAAATCAAAAAAACGACATCTTTAAAGTACCATCTAGACAACTCGAGCTTTCCGAAAAGTTGCTACACATACAAATTCGGAGCGAGTTTACTAGGAAAAAACGTGTCCACGCACTAGAACAAAGAAGAAGAAAAAAAAAAATAAAAAAAGGAGAAAAATAAACAGCATTGTAAAACCAATAGCTCGATCGCTACGCTCGAAATCTAAAAATATACGCATTAGTTTTCCGTTTGTATTATTGCAATATAACATCTCGGCGTAATATTTATATGGTAATTCGAATTGACTACGGTAAAATATATGAGATTTCTTATTAAAAATTCCATTTATTATTAAAATGTATACCGAAAACTAAAATGTCGCCGTTTATTTCCCCCCTCTCACCCGTTTCCCGATACTGTTTTCTTTTTTTCTTTTTCACGTCATTTTTCTCGTTAGTGTTTAAATTAGCGACTTTTTTACAAAAAAAATAAAATACAATACATTTACAATGTGAAGGTATGTAGGTACTTGTAATAAGTACGCGTCTCCGTAGCGTTTTTTCCGAAATTTCATAATAAATATTATTTAGGTGCTCACACGGATGGATGGTCTCGTTATTTTCGTTCAGGCAGTTCGGCCCGAAACGAACATTATCATCGTGTCGTACACTCCGAGTGTCGCACGGTATATTCACAAACGACAAAATATAACACGCAACGGTATTTATCCGCATAAATCGGTTCAGGTGCGCGGTTATTATCATAACGCGAGACGGGCGTTAGTATTTAACATGGTTTAACGCGCATTACGTATGACAATATTATAAACAGGCGACTGCCGGTATAATGTGCCCGTCCAAAGGTCAACATGACCACCGTTCGCCGCGTCAAGGAAATCAAATATTATTATTATTATTATTATTGCTGTGCGCGAATCGGAAAACGAACGGATTATACCGACTGCGGTGTTTAATAATAATAATAATAATATTCGACCCGAAAGCGGCGGCGGTTCTTGTGACGTTTCCGGGGCGTGATCAAGTCGAAATATCACGGTTCGCGTGTTAACGTACGCGAACAATATAAACGCAAACGAATAATCAAAACCGAATAGTAAAAAAAAATAAAATAAAAAAAAACGGCTAATGGAAAAATGCTATGGTAGCTCGCTAGGTTCGCTAGGGTGGCCGAACCCGAATAGCCGCTGGAATGTAGGCGAAAAAGATTATGTACTCGAACCGTAGACTCGCCGAAGTAATATAAGGTGTTTCGTCGTATACAAATTATTTCGATGGATAATTTTTTTCTGTTTTACGCGAACGCGTTTTCGAACCGTTTTACAAATACTCGCTATCGTGCACATCGGACTAAACCTGAAGTGAATATGTTTTTTGAAAAGAATTCGAACACTTTCGGGTCGATCGGTTTTGATCGAACGCGGACCTTTATTGGGCATAAGAAAATTGTTGTATAATACTGTATTCTAATGGTTCCGCGATCCTTTCCATAAATTATTGCACACCACGACTAATGGGTTACGGCGATCCGCGCGTTAAGTACGAACTCGTAAATCTTTTGATTATGACTCATTTGAGTGTGACCCATCGTTTTTGTGCCGTGAAAAGAGCGAAGGTGGTCGATAATTACTCCTACGATCATTATCGAAATTCGATTTTAAAACGATCGTACCGTATATTATTACATTTGTCATTACCCGAGCAGAAACGAAGTCTGTATTATGCCAAAACATTAACAACGAACGCAATAGTGCGCCTTTCACGGTTGTCCAATAGTCGGCTGGCCGTTAAACACGGGCACTGTGTGCCACTAGTGAAAAACAGTACCGGTAGTCGAGTGCGGGCCTGATTTTTGCGCAGCACCGGCACCGTACTGCGTATCTATTATGTTGTTGAAATCCGAGGCCATTTCTCCGGAGATATTTAACTGAAATTCTGTCTCGCCGATTTTCGTGATTTTTTTTTTTTAACGCGAGCGTTTGGCGTGCATATGCGCCGTCCAATGGGAAAAATTCAACAAACGAATTAGTCAATAGTTATTATAGTTATTAAAACGGTGACAAAACCGTACTGTACACGTTTGCTAACCGGCATAGAAGTATAATATATTATTATAATCTAACGGTTTGTCACCACAGTAACCTCGATAACCATGAAGTATACAGGGGTTAGAGAGCGAAGCGAGCAGGAGCGAACCCCCTAGTTTTAAGTAACGGCCGGCCCGTATCATATCGTGGACCCGTGTTTAGCATCGGCTCCGTGCACCAGTTCTAAACAAAAAAAAACCGCGAAACGTGCAGGCGTGAAGGACAAGAAATGATTTGTATCTTTATAATAAATACATTTGAATTCCAAGCGGCGGAGTAAAGATGCAATTACTGTGTTCCATACATAAATCGTTCTTTGTTTTTTTTTTTTCACTTTTAGATCCGCTATATTCTTCTGGAAAATATATTTCAAGCGATAAAAGCACTCGGAAAGTTTTACACAACATAACGTGTCCCCCCCTATATTTCGTATAGATTACTACAGGACGCGTTCGGTATAATTTTGGAAAACGTTTATGATAAGACGGCGAAATTCTAATGCGGCGTATACATCATATACCACAGTGCGGTTCTATCTGTCGTATGTATAGGTATGACGTTCGGTTATTGTTTGTTTCGCGCATGTCCGTTATCGCTGTTTGGGTTTTTCGTAATGGCTCTCACGTGTTGTATTTGCTCTTCCGCAATTAATCGAAAAACTGCTTCTGTTACTCGTGGAGACTATATGAAAAATACAGTTCACAGTAGTCGTGCCCCTACTTCTGGGTCCTTCCCGAAAAATGTCTTGTAAACATGTAGTTCGTATTCGCCTTCAAACTCGGACTTGCTCTCAAAAATCGGCGAAATGCACGACCTCTTAATATCCGCTAACAATAAAATAGATAACTTAGTTGCCGAAAATACTCTCTTTCGTGAAATATTATGTCTACTGGAATTCAGATTTGTAGAATTAAAATCAAATTCGTCAACCAAATGGCAATGCGCCGTATTCGGACATGAACAACGAATCGCAAGATCGCCAATCGCGTGAAAAAAATATCATTATCTTTAACGTCCCCGAACTGAACAACGGTGCCGACGATTCGTTAGTTATTAATGATGATTTTTCTCAGATCGGTGCCCCCGTTACTACTTCGCAAATTGTTCGTTTGGGTAAAATAGGATCAAAACCCCGTCCAATCAAAGTCACACGCAGTGCGAAATCCGACGTCGGTTTAATAATCAAATCAACAAATCGTTTCCGTGAATTTCCCAATATTAAAAATATACACATAACGGTTGATTGGACTCATCCCGACGCAGTTTCTACAATAGTTTACGTGAGCAACTTTCAACGCGTAAGAAGAATGGTGAAGCCGATATATAGTTCGGCTACGTCAATGGTGTACCTACCATCCTTCAAAAAACACTGAATACCACCTCAGGTGCAGCTCTCAAAGACATCGCTTTTGTAAACATTAATAATAATTTATCAAATTTTAAACATATAAATGGCTTATTTCAAAACGTTAGAGGGATGCACACGAAGTTAGATTTATTACGTATTAATGAACTATTATTTACGTTGGCATTTTATGTTTTTGTTGAAACTAGTTTAAATAGAAATTTCCTTTCCTCCAAACTTGGTTTTTCTTCATATGATATATTTAGATGAGACCGCGACTATATGAATTCCGGTGTTAGTTTAGGTAGTGGAGTTCTAATTTGCGTAGAAAAAACATTTCTTTTGAACGTCTATTCGTACCGTCTAGCCCGGACTTTGAGCATTTATTTATTTACGTCCGCATTAATAATACAAATGTTATATTTGCTGGTGTTTAATTCCCAACCAAAAGTTATAATGATAGTTATGTTAATTTTTTAATTCTATAAATTGAATCGTGTCACCGTGTCCTAATTACGAAATTATCATTTGCGGTGACTTTAACTTACCTAATTTAAATTAGATTTTTTTTTAATGATTATGTTAGGTACCACATGAATTTTTATAATCAAGCAGCAACTATTATCGATGAGTTTACTTATCTTAACCGCCGTCAATTTAAAAAGTGGTAATTTATCGGGCTCTTTAATCGATTTAGTTTCGTCCAATATTTCCACTGTTTATGTTCTTAATGATGATGATAAAGCTATCTTGCCACTAGACACGTTATACCATCCCGCGTTATGTATTAGTTTCAATATGTCTACGTGTAATAAACAAACTGAACTAAATGTTCGCGATTTTTATCTTAATAAAAAATATTTCTATGGCTTATCATACGCTCTGAGCTCTGTGCTTGCAATTGGAATACAATTGTACACAGTTCAGACATTAAAGTAGCCACTTCTTGTTTTTATCCAACACTTAGTACTCGCATTAATTTATTTGTTACTAAACTAATCCCGAATAAATCTAATTTCCCCTATTGGTATAGCAGGTATTTGATAAGTCTAATCATTAAAAAAAAAAAATTGCTCATAAACATTTCAAACGCTTTAAAAACCTTAATGACTATATTATATTCAAGCTTTTACGGCGACAAATAACTGAATCTCTATTGCAAATAATAACTATCTTAATAGTATTCAATCGAATTTGTTACATGACCCAACTTTCGTACGTTCAAGAAAACAAGGAAACCCTATCCCACAAACCATATCTCTCGGTGATGAGACTGCGAACTCTAGCCAAGATATTGTTAATCTTTTTGGAAATTACTTTAGCTCTGTGTATAGTCCTAATATTAATTCTTATAGTTCTAACTAGCCCCTCCTTTCAAAGCACTGTAGATTTAAATAATATAGACTTTACGATCGGTGATATTTTTGAAGGTTTTAGTCTTCTTAAAGCTAAGTGCACATATGTCTCTGATGGAATACCTCCTATAATTTCATGTAATTGCCGTTATTCATTAGCATTACCAATTTATATCTTATTAAAATTATCTCTGTCTTCTAGTTCTTTTCTTACAATTTGGAAATCTAGTATTATTCAACCCATTTTTAAATCTGGTAATAAGTCGAATATCGACAGCTACAAGCCGATTTCAATTTTATCAATAATCTCTGAGTTTTTTGAAAAAATCCTATTACCAAAAATTAACTCCTGCTTCAAAAATATATTTATTAATGAAAAACATGGGTTTCGACCCGGCCGTTCTACGTTTGCACATTTAATTTATTTTCAATCTTTTTTGATGGAATCAGTTGAATTGGGTTCACAAGTTGACGTCATTTATACTAACTAAAAAAAATCATTCGATAGCGTTCATCACGACTCCCTTGTTAATAAGCTAAAACTTTTTGGTGTATCTGACCCCTTGTTATCACGGTTCAACTCATATCTCAATATTCAATTTGTAAAAATACATAATTATTCTTGTATTCCCAGTACCGTTACTTCGGGTGGCCCACGAGGTGGGCATTTTTCTCCGTGGCTATTTAACGTATTTATTAATGACGTGTCCAATTGCTTTTTATCCTGCAAATGTTCGCCTTTCGCTGACGATCTGAAGTTATTTAATGTTACAAATGATATTTCTGACTGTCTAGGTCTCCGAAAACGCCTAGATAATTTCCATGAATGTTACTCGTGTAATGGCTTAATTATAAACATGTGCGTAAATACTAACAAATGCAATTATATATCGTTTTTCCGAACACATTCACATATAAACGTTCATTATTCTATTAATTCAACCCCTATAGTTTCTGTATCTACTATAAAAGATTTACATGTTATTTCGGCCACCGATCTATCATTTATAGATCATATTAACCATGTTTGTAAGAAATAAACGATGACGCTCGGGTTTATAAACCCGTAACCTTATTGGTTCCTCTAATATTTACGCATTAAACACCCTCTATATGGCTTCATTTCGTGCAGCGCTCGAATACACTTCTATTATTTGGTCATCTCATCAATTATGCAATAATGATCGTTTAAATAAAGTACAAAACAAACTTTTAAAAATGTGCTCATTTCGTCGCGCAATTAACCCTTATAATTTTAAATCTCTCACCGAAAGGCCAGTTGATATTGATGTAACTTTTATTGATAAATTATTCAATAATGAGATTGATATCCCAGATTTATTTTTCAAACTATCATTAACCGTTCCTTCTTTTTACTCTATAAATCCTCAAAGTTTTAAAATTAAATTCCGAACTACTAACAATGGTTACCTTCTTGATCGCGCTTGACGTACTATTAATAATTTATCTAAAATCGATATTTTTTTCGATTCTTTGCCATATATGGTTCATAAATTGTATTAATTCTGTTAACATAACTTATTCTTGTTAGATTCGTTTATTTTTTTTTTCTTACCTTTTATTCTTTTTGTCATACTAATTATCATAATGTGCACCGTACAATGCCCCTGAAGCTTTGAAACATAAGTATATAAGTTTGTCATATAAGGATCGAATTTCGGATTACAAAAAAATAATAATATTCAATATTTTTCGAATATAAATCCTAGAATGGTATATTTTGTAGAGTGATACAAAATGAAACATAATTTGTCTAATTATAATAAACAGAGTTCAAATATATATAATGTATACGTATGGGTGGGTACTGAAATATACATTTGGACTCGTTATAATGTATTATTTATGTACGTATAATACATATTGTAAAACATTACAAGCGGATAAGTTCAATGGGTATTTACGATATGGATTTATAGTACACATATTTAAATAATATTCGATTCACTACGATTCATTCGTATATTTGTGTATCTATCGTCATTTAAAAATTTAAAAAAAATAAAAAAAAAAAACAATAATGCAATTAAATGTTTCCTTTATCGTTAAACAAAAATGTAGTTGTGTTCAAAAATAATGATTTTTTTTTTTTGAACGATTTGTTTTTTTTTTTTTTTTTAAATTTAACAAACAGTACTAAAATGTTAAATTTCAATTTTTTTAGGACCTTAATTTTTTATGGTAGATTCACTTTTGATTTTCAAGTTGTCACCCGTATTAAAGATTCAATAAACAAATTAGTAGTATCTATTATAGTGCAACAGTATTAGTTTAAATACATGCTGCTATTGACATTTTTGTTTTCTGTCAATAAGTTAAAAAGTTGATTCGATTATAAGTTTGGGTAAAGAAAAAGTATTAGTGTATTAATGGAGCACTTTTAAAACTGGGTGCGCTGTACCATCGCACAATAATTGAAGTTTCTATCTACTTTCCCTCTTCTCTCACTAATCAAATTTAAATTAGAATATCTCGTCAATGAATTGACTGAAATCAAAAGTTTCAACAGCAAATTTTTAATATAAGTTGCCGTTTAGAAATAAAATTTAGGTGGTGACCTTCCCCCCCCCCGAATAATATGTTAACGAAAACTAATAAAAATGCAACATTTAAGAGCTACTTGTTTTTCAAATTGTTAACAAAAATTGGATACTTCTTTAAAGTCATCAAATTATAATTTTAACGACTAAACCTAACCACGTTTCGTTTTTTATTTCCGTTGGGTTAATATATTCGTATAATTTACAAAAATATTTGCCTCACTATAGCTTACAATAGAGCGCGACTGCATATACCGTTATATGTATACATACGTGTATATGGCAGATTTTGATTTTTACCTAAGATTTTTGTAATTTCAATTCATACCCATGAATTCGCTATGTTTTAATCGATGATCCAAAAAACATGACATTTTATTTACCTGTATCCAAAACGGTAAATAGAATCCGAAACTGCAAAGAAACGACGCCGCTAACGATAATGTCGCCCAACACATCCCGGCGACTGTTAAAGTGGTTGCCATCTGAAACAAATAAAGAAAAATAAAACGAAAATGTTTTCACATATAGCTTTTTTATTTTTTTTTTTTTTTTTTTTTTGAAACTTTTCTTTTTACTTTTTTGAACGCATGCATAAAACAAATAGTATAAAATGAAAGAAACCACAGTATTCGGCTTAAACTTGGTGTAAATACACAATGGATACAAAACACTGCGGTCTAGAACAAATGGACAGTTTGGACGCGAGTACAAAAAAAAAAAAAAACAAATAATAATATAATTATTTCATTTGGGTTGTCTGACGTTCTTAAAATAAACATTAATTCAAAACGTTGCTACAAACCACAAACCAAATACAAATAGGTAATAAACAAATTAATTTTTCAAATTACTTTACAGACATATTTTATAAACAACGATTTGATTTTATTAATCCAATAAGTAGATAATAATAATGGACTTAAAATAATGTTTAAAATCAGTGTTGTTATTATTGTTTGGTTTATCACGCAAACCGGCAAACAGTTCTAATTGTTAATAAAACTACATGCGATTTAAAATAGAAGATGAACATACATAATTAGGATACATTAAATACATATGAACTAATGCTAAGTATTATTACGCATAATGAGAAAGATAATTAATCGGACACAGAGATAAAGAGAGAGAAATACAAAATACAAATAAACAAAAACTTAAAATTAAAAATTAAGAAAAATTGTGAAAACTGAATAGAACAATTAAGAATAACGATGATGTGCATTAGTCTAGGAGAAATGATAGGTCTTCATTGGCAAGCCTCATCATACGGTTATATCAGAGGAGACATTTGGGTTCACCGAGCAGGAACCTTGAAATTAATTAGCGCACGAAGAGAATGGGAGTCAATAGATCCAGAAAGTAAATACAGTTGTGTATTAAATTAGGATAATTGTTGCTTTCGGTGAACTAAAATGTTCGTAGTCAGTATAAGTTTAACTGTAGGAAAATGATGGATCCAGAGTTGAGTTTTTTTTTTAGAGGGGGGCTCTTAAAAAAAATTACTACTTAGCAAAAGAAAACAAAAGAGGTGATACTGAGGATAGGCGTAGCTACTGTTGTTGGTGGAAAGTTGAGAAGGTGGGACACGTAAGATTATAAATAAGGTGATCGAGTAAAAATGATACAGTTGCCATGGCCAAATTAATAGTGTCTACATTGTCTATCATCGAGTGTGTGGATAAATCAAAAAATTTAAAATATATATCTACCGAAAAATTGGTCGCCGTACTTCGAACAATTAGTCGAACTATAGTCGGCTGTTTGAAGTTTTTTGTTTTGTACTATAAAATATATAGAGCAGTCATAGTAAAATAGCGAAAACACTTACAACAACCCAAACCCAGAAAAATCGCGTACCGTTATTAAAACTACTAGCCGTTCTTATACGTCGGACGATTAAGTATCGTGGCCTCCTAGCAATTAATATGTTTCCGGAGTTAATCGTCGCAACCGTTGAAATTCGTTAACGGGGAAAACAATCTACACTTATGCATGTAAACCAAAAATGTTGCATGTTTCACTACACCGTGGACAATGAGACTTAACGGACTGTTAAATAATGCACAAGCGGCGGAAATGACCGACGGCGCCGGCGATAAAGTACAATCGCTAAATTTTGATAAACGACAAGAACGACGTAAAATTTAACTCGTACGGTAATTGAATCAAACACGAGTCGATAAAATGTTTTGCGAAACAAATACGCGTGACAACTGCAGAAATGTAAAAACGTCGAGAGTGCAGTTCAAAATAAAAGACGTTCCGGTAGAACGCGTGAAAGTTTCCGCGCGGTTGTACGGCGTACGCCCCGGCGGCGTGCGCGATAAACGGCGACTGTGCGACGGTCCACGGTACCGTAGGAATTTCACTGTTGTCGATCGCCGACGGGACGACAAAAAGGCCGAACCAAAAGGCCGCGAACCGCGCGCAATTATCGGGACGTAATTCAGTATTGGGTCCATGCGACACTGTTTACGTTTTTAGATTTATAATAATTATCGCCGTGAAACGTCGCCATTCGACGATAACAGTTATCTGCGAACCCGATAATTGCGTAGCGATCGGCACCGACGCGTGCCGACACGAGAACGGGAAATCGGTGTACGATAAAAATACAAAAAAAAAATATTACCGTTGTGGGGTATACGTATAATAGAATTATTTAATTGCACACACATTCACGTAACACGTGTAATAAAAAAAGAAAAACCGCGAAATATCATCGTTGTTTTCCGCCGTAATCTAATGCGCAAATGGCTTTTAAACAAGCGGATGTATTTTTTTTTTTTTTATCGTATTGTTTTAAAAATGGTGCAGCACGCCGTGTATAAGTAACTAAACGGTCTTTAAAAAGCGGACCGTCACAAACATTATATTTCGTTGAAATAGTTACCGGGGGGGGGCCCTTTTAAAGTTTGTCAAAGTCCCGGATTACCGGGTGGACGGAGCGAACGCTGGCCCCGGGTAGCAGGTTTTTAGGGCGGTAATTTTTTCAAGGCGAAAACGAACGCTTTAGAAGTTTTCTTATGAATATTTTAATTTTCGAGAAGAACATTGAATTCATTAAAAAATATGTGTAATAAACTGTTAAAATTTAATAACAATAATATAATATTATTACGTGGCTTACTGCAGAGTAGACATACCATAACATTAAAATAATAATATTGTAGCGCTCGCACCGACATATTTCCGTATTTGTTCGTATTATTTTTGAATGTATACTTTGCACAATGTTACGCTTGCGCAAATATTATACACACTGGCACATTGTGGTATTTGTTTTATTCTCTGTATTATAATTTATCACACACCTGATTATTGAATTTGATATTAACAGTTTCAAATAATTTTCTGTAAAATATTCGTACGGTAAGCGTCATCGTTATTCTATCGTCACTCATTAAGCCCGGTTGACTGAAAAACATATGGATTAACTGCCTAGTATATATTTTCTTTAAATTTTATGTAGCGTTTTTCTTATTCGACTATACCAATTATAATGGTAAAATAATATTATGATTGGACATCGAATAGAATTGAACGGCGTTGAATTTCGCAGACTAGATGAAGAAAATAAAAAATAAAAATTACAAATTATCGCCCAGATATTGAAAATTTAGAATTTCTTCAAAAATTTAAAAAATGATGTAAAACAATAATAAATGTATATTTTGTAATACAACTATTAAATATATTATATCATTTATATTATTTAAACAACGGACGAAAAAAAATATGTTAGTAGGTTGTAAAATCGTAGCATACGTTGTACATCGAAAAACAATGTAACGATTCATATTTTACTAGTTTCGAGTTATTTATAGTTTTTTTTTTTTGAGTAATCGAGATTCGAAGTTTTCGATAGGGATCCGCATTTATTTCGACTTATCGGAGTTTCAATGTACATAACAAAGATTATTAAAATGGAAACTAGTTGTTCAATAACCGAATTTATAATACTTCAACATCTAATTTTATTTATTGCATTTATTCTTTACTGCTGATTTTATATACTTATACAAGGTGGATAAGCATTATTTTACAAATGCAATAACTTTTGTTCCATCCAAAATTTTAACTTTATTTTCGTCGTTTTATTAAGTATCGTAATACTGCACTATAACTTGAAAAGTTGAATTGTTTACATTATTTTAATACATTTTGATAGTAGTTAAAAATTGTTTACAGTGTTTTTTTGATACGTTTTTTTTTTTTTTTTTATGATGCCTGTAAGATGTTCGTGTTCACACGCTTCTTGAGAGAAAAGTGTGTATTCGTAATAATATGAAGTATGTACCAGACCAGAAAATAAGCGGTTGCGGATAAGTCGAGTGTAATGCCACCATTTCCGGGGTAAGAGTGTAATATGTACCGCAACTACAATAATGTCGCGGATCTAATGCACTTTATCCGAAAGACTTTTGTCAGGTAAAACCGGACCTAGAATCGTGCCTAGGGCAGATGCCGTAAACCTAATCTGCCGTATAGGCGAAATCGCGACAATTCGAGTTTTAAATAATACTCTAAAATATAATATTCACCATACACCGTCACTCTACATCACGAATATTTAGACTTGTATATTTTTTTTTTTTTTTTTATCTGTATTCTAATTATTCGCAGTAAGAAATCTATTTCCGAACGTTTATTATTCGACATTTTGAGTTTCTTTTCATTGAAATAGATATATCGATATTTGAATATGTTCTGAACAGAAATCCAGTATTGTGATTTAATTTACTGTATGCATATAAGATGAAGTATTCTTTTAAGCTAGGATAGTGTGAGAGTATAGTGAAGTATCGTTTGTGTGGCGGCACACCGAATGGCGTTTGAATAGTGTTCGACTATTAGATATTCGGTAATTGCCTACAAATCCTAAACGTAGAATATCTCGTTAACGGGTTGACGGATATTGAACATTTCAACACCAAAACGTATTTAAACTAAAAATTTAATCCAATAATAGAATTTTTAACAAAGGTTGATACTTGAAAATCAAAAGTGACTATTAGTTTCACCTCCGATATTAAAGGCGGCGAAGTAAACGATATAGTAACATTTTAGAGCTATTTGTTTCTTAAATTGTAAAAAAAAAAAATCTATACTTTTTGCGATAGATAATGCATGTCTAATCGAAGATTGATCACTCTATGCACAAAGGTATACACAGAAAGCGTTCGCGGATAAAACAAAAAGTGATTTTGTATTAAACTTGCGTGCTACATCAGTATCATATGTAAAAATAAAAAACACTATGGGATGAGTTAATTCTAAATCGAATAGAAGACAAAAAAGCCATTAGATCGAGTGGCATAGCCGACGTACAAAAAAGTCCAAAGTGAAAATCCGTAAAATACAGGCCGATCAATTTATAATAAACAAGCGATTTAATCACATTATTCAAGGTCAATTTTTCGTCTCAATAAGATTTGCATGATTTATAAAAGTTTAAAGTGTAAGCCAGAAAACGTAATAGTGTACATAGGTAAAATCAATATTTCATTTAAATACGAAATATATTATCCTACCCAGTACCTAACTCCTGTCATTTAAATTTTAAACTCTGGTATGACTCATAAACAGTAAATTCGTTAAAGTTGAGTTGCGCTAAACAAAATGTTTAGAAACACATATTTTCTATTTGAATAGGGTTAAAACACATAGGTACGTACAATTGTGTTAAATAAATACATCTTTATGATTCCGTATTAATATATTATAATGATTGGATAAAATTACAGACATCAACCAAAACTTTGTTTTTTCATCGTATTAATTCCGCTGAACCGGAGGAGGGGGGAAGCGAATTAGCATTACTAACTTCCGACTGCAACTTATACCAATCAACAATCTGACGGCTTTGGGAAGAAAGGGATCGTAATGTAACCATTCCAAGGTGTCCTCTGGTTGAGACTGCCTCCGGATCCGGTGAAAGTAGTAGCCGAAACACTCATGGTCGGTCGTGACCTGGGTCTAATGGAACGTTGCCACATGCCACAGCCACAGCCGGTCGATCTCCAGATATCAGGGATCAGCCACTCAGTCCACACCGAACTCTCGCTCCTAGCAATGTGTTCCTGCAAGATGCGTAGCGTCACCGCTTGCTCCTTCCTCCTAATTGCCGACATGAGGACAGCCCGTCTCCCGTCGGTAGCTATCGTCTGGAACCTGGCCCTCCCGAGGACCGAGGAGATGCCTTAGTGTGTCACGTCCTTGTTACCCTTAGGGCAGCGTATCCCACATAACCAAACCTAACCTAACAACCCTGTATTGACGCTGCACATTATTCTTGTATTCTCACTTGTCATTCTATTTATTCTTCCATACAGTACACCTATGTGACGCATAATTCAAATTATAGTTCCAGTTAGATGCACTTATATTTTTCCGGCTAAAAACAAAATCCAAACGGTCGAATTGACTTTTATTTTCAGAAGGCAAAAAAAAAAAACAAATTATAATAAAAAAAATAAAGTCACGCAGAAATCATAATATATTGTTATTTCTTTTCGGAACACGGGTCGGCGGCGGTGGCGCAGACAATATTTTATTGACAAGTCAAATAATATTATTGTCGAACATCGTCTCTCCGTGTAATCCGGTGTACGTCCTCGCGTTTCATATCATTAAAAAGTTTTTGTCGTAAACAAACTTCTTTCGAACCGATAACCGTTAATATATGGACACGCACACATATATACTCGACCCGAGCCATTGAATATAATAATATACATATGTATTGGGTACACGTTTAATACAGGGTGTTACTTTATCCATGGCCCAGTCAAAAGATAACCCAGTCACCAAGAATGTCAAGTGAACTTTGATTTTAAACACGATACCGTTTTGCGTACTCGTATATACGTTTTCCGTATTCAAAATTGTACACCCAATCCCGTTAACGAATCATTATAAGCCCTTTTTTAAGTGCTAAAAGAAATATTTTAAAAAGCGAACAAATAATTATTCAAAAAAAAACACAAATAAGCAAAATAAAAGCACTTTCAAATGTATATATTGAAACTTTTTGTTATAAACACGGCGTACATGTCCATAGCACTCTGCCGGATTTATTATCGGGTCGGAAAACCGAGCAAATGCTATAGGGATCCCGTTTACAAGTCTATAACGGTACGTAAGGACGGCATTTTGAAAATATTGCTCAAATACGATCGCTTCAAACGCGGATTCTGAAATAGGAGATAATTATTCATAACGACCGAAAAAACGACCGGAAATCGAATTACTGAAATCTTCGTGTAGGCACGGGCACGGATAATCGTCGCGCGGGTTCGTGACGAAATGGATCATCCTGTGCATCGAGATTAAATCCGTACAAAACGCGCGCACGTAACACGAGGACCGGGCAAATACGTCGTTCGTATTTATATAGGGCGCTCGGAGGAAAGTCGGAACTTTTACGGTAAATCAGTCAATAACGGTACTTTGAATACGCTCGTAGCGTTCTAATATTACTCACAGACCATTGTCTGTGGATAATATTAGAATTGGTGCCGAAGCGATCGTTTTAAATTGTATAACACGCATTGCGAAAACGACGACTGGCGGGCAAATTGAAATATTCGTTACGCATACACGCATATATTTATATATTTTCCTCCGGTTTAATTTTGAAAGCGGTTGAATGCGACACGTTTTTCCGTAATATATATTTGGACGCGCGTTATAAAACAATTTTTATCAGTTTCTTCAGTGTTGACAGTTAAAAACGTCCTCGTTGAAAACTTGTTATCGGTTTTAGTAAGACCCAATTCGGTAAAAAAAAAATTCGAAAATTGTATTTCATAATGGACAAACGTATACATATATATATATATATATATATATATATGTACGGATATATATATCACGTGTCAGGTACTTTCTAAATAGTATTGTTGGAATTTCCTCCACTTAAAATTCGCAAACACTCCTCTTCTCGGCCACTCGCAACACACATACGGAATTTCCATTCGGCGGTACTGGATTGAGTTTTTCGAAATTCCCAACAGTTCGCCCTCTCCCCACTTCCCTTTGGACTTCGCCCTCCGATTTTGTTATCTCGTCAAAAACTTATTTTCACCCACGAGAGTGGTTCACCCGTCAGCAGATTAACTGGTTTTTTTTTTTTAATAGATTGTATTCCTTAAATATTCGAATATATATTAGGAATATTTTTTAAAAAAAAAAATGTTACCCAATTCTGATAACCAGTGAAGTATCTACGTCCTTTTATAAGAATTTTGAAACATATGGCTTCTACATCGATGCATATTTTTAGGAGTTATAATGATCGTAAACATACATGTTAAATATATAACCCCGTTTTTTTGAAATCTGTCAAAAATAAATATTGATTCTTTATGCTTTAATACTTATAACTTATAAATGTTATGTAAAATGTTGACCGATGCACCATCATCATAAGTGCAGAGCAGTTTTATATTATTCTTAAGCTTAACGGGATCTCGTTTATTATTAACGCGACGCATTAATCGCATTTAATAAAATTCGGAATTGTGTGAAGTCGACGGAATTAGAAAAAATAATAATCCACTATGCCGAGGAATGTATAGTTTACTCTTTTCCAGTATGCACGAAAGGTCTTCACTTTTTAGAAATAAACGCAGTCTTTCGATGGCTGTCCGAGTTGGAAAAAAAGAAGAAAAAGAAACGTGATACTTATTCGTATAACGTGTTAAATAATTTTGATATTTTGTAACATTGTTTTCGACTTGGAATATTTAAATATATGTTAGATAATATGTATTTTAAATTTCGAATGGAACAAAGAAGCTGATGGTTTTACAAAGATGCTTATTATTTTTTTTTTTTTTTTAACTTTTCTTTCATAGATCTTGCTCCTGATTTTTAAGTCTAGCACCTATTCTGAAAGGATATCGGTTTAGGGAGGTACTTGAAAGAGGCTGTTTTTAAATTTTCTCAAGAGTTTTCCCAAAAAATATGAACAATCGGGAAAAATAGAAAAATCGGACCATTCAACAAATACCGTTGAAGAAAATATACAATGCTTACATAATTATTTTACCATATAACATATATATTTTTGACAAAACATCACCATCAACTGAACTCCCCTCAGAATCATTTTTTCGTTAGCAATGGTTTATCGTTGCTTACATGAATACATTAAACTACCTATTACCATGGCCGCACCCGTCCCCCATTATCCTAAGAGAGCTTTTTTACTACTCGGATGCCATCCAGACGAATAAATTAATCACTTAATTATTATCACGGACATAATACTTTCATGATACGACTACTAAAGAAAATAATACATGTAGACGCGCATTCTGGTTTTACTCGGTCCATAAATATTTTACACCGCGTAGTCGCGTAGTATTATTAAATATTAATGCAATGTTATTATAATGTTAAGTATGTATACCGTTACAGGGTTATTAAACAAACATTTCGAAACATTAAGGGCGTCCCGCGTGTAAGCGATTTCCTCGAATTTTTCGTAAAAATTACATTTTCATCAACACAAAAATGTTGAAATTCACTTTCGAATACATTCGAAGTAGTCCGGTGTCACCGTCACGTGTATTGTTTTCGCACGACCGAAAGCTACACGGGCTGTGGACTCGGCTAAAAAACCGAATTTCCGCCCTAACCGATTGGTTTCCCCCTTATAAGGCAAAAAATTTACTCGAGTTGAAAAACTTAAAGCGATCAGGTATTTAAACAGAAATATCTTTTTTTTAATCTGGTATTTCTAATATCGATACAATTTAACCGACGTTGCACATTGCAAATTATTTTTTTTTTTTTTTTTACACGGTGAAAATTCAATTGTTTGATTAAGCCCGAGTAGTTTTTTTTTTGCCCCCGTGAAACAGTTTTTACAGTCAGATTACGTTACTATATGTTAGTTTTATATTATTTTTTAGATATTATAATACGCGTATAATAATATATTATATTATTTCCGCGGGTAATCCATAAGTAATACATAGGTATTCGGAAATGTTAAATATTAAATACGGGATTTTGTCATTATTAGCGTCAGCACAGCATAACATAACACAATGCAACAGATTATCAATTTCACGTATCAGAGTTTAAAATAAATCTGTCGATTATTATTATTATTATTTTTTTGTTCTTTATTTTTTCAGTAGTAGATAACGGATTTATATGCAATTAAATTCAAAAAAAACGCTCAAAAACGTAAACTAATCCTCTACTTGAAACATATTTTAAAAATTAAAAATGGTAGAAACGGTTTTTAAGTCCTCCCCTTTTAACGCTTCTAGCTTATTAAATGCCATTTGCTATCACTAGGAAAATGATTGACACAAATTAATTTGTTCGATAATACGCGTACATTTGTATTTAAAACAAATTGCTTAAGTGTAAGACTGCAATCGGCGTTATTTGAGGGGGAGAATTTGAAACCCCTCTACCATCTACCCTCTACCCTCTACCGTCGTCGTTTTTTTTTTAAGGGCTGTTTTGTTGTATTTAAGAGTATCATGTAAATCCGTTGTCTATATTCATTGCCGCATTGTTAACTATTGTATAAAAGTTTCGTGATAATAGTAGGTCATGGACGAAAAAAAAATAGCGATCATCGAATACGGTAGGATTTTTTACCGATGTTACCGACATTAGATGCCGTTAAAACCAATCGTGTTGTATACGATCCGTGACGCGATGTTAAATTATTATCCGCTGACCCCGTGTATATTTTATGGCGTTTGTTTATCCGCGGCATTATAAGGTCACGGCGGTGGCGCGTAAGTAAGTCCTAAGTAAAACGTATGAAATATTAAATACGACGCGCTGCAGGATATTATTACGACGAAGAACATCATCGCTTTATAAATAAAAAATAGATTCCCGTCCCGTTTAAACCGCGCGCGGATTACAATTTTCTCTCGGGCCGCTTAGGTCGTCGCCGTCGTCTGTGTAACGAATTTCGTTTTATTATACCGCGGCGTTCGACGGTGGTGCCTGTACACATAATACCGCGTATAATGTACGCCGGCACGTGTTACGGTTAATTTCGAAAATTTCATTGTGTCGACTCCGGTAGAACCGATTTCGCGCCGTTGGTTTTGATACCGGAGTGCATCGGCCTGTGATCACTACTCGAAGATAAACGCGGACGTGTTTGACGGCTGGCTTTCATTCCGATAGTTTGAATTTCAACGCGAAACACGACCGCGCGAAAATATCAAGATTTCAAAATCACCGTATCTCGCCTGTAAACTCATCAACATCGAAACGAAACCCGTCGCACGCACAGATATCACGCTCTTAACTTTATGTCCGATGACGGATGAATTCGGTATCAATTCGAGTTTCTATCGTTTTAATCATTTTTTTTACATTATTATTTTATTATCGATCGACGTGCCGCGATATCAAAACTGACGGCGCACAATCGGTTCTCGGAGAAAATAAGCTCGGAGAGAAACAGTAGCGAATACGAGACAGGTGTCAATATACCGTTATGGTTAATGGTATGTTCAAAATGACGGAGAAAAAAAAAAAGGACGAGTCGTCTATAGTCTACGTTCGTCAAGCAAATTGATACCGGGCACAACTAGCTGCTATACCAGAGATGAACACACCCGAATAGACCCGTCGGGTCACACAAAATGTTTGACAAAAAAAAAAAAAAAAACGTTTTTGTATAAGATACATATGCAACTCATAAAACAATACGAAAGACCTCGACAATGTTATTTACTGTCAACGGAATATCGAAAAAAATCATAGTATTATTATTATTACCAACGTTTTTAGGACGCGTCAAATGCCATTTTAAACTCGTATAGTATTTGTTCGTTGTTTAATGTTGAAATTCAACAGAAAAAAAAAAAAAAACGAAAAAAATCAAACAATAACAAATTGTCGTTATTACAATAAAACCGACGTGTCCGTCGGGATCCGAAACGAACGCGAGCCGACGATCGCGCGTCGTCCGGTCGCTGTTTACCGTGCCGCGGCAACGTCACATTACCGCGAACACCACTGCGCGGCGCGCGGCGGACGCGACCAGCGAATCGTTAGACAGCTAAAACGACCGCCCGCGTAAACGCAATCGCGTTTAATTGCGCAAAACCGGCCGACGAGCGGCGGTCGGCGTACGCTCACGGACCGTCCGCCGGCCGACCGCGGTGTAAACGCAATTCGATTCGCCGGGCCGAGAGCAAACGGTTGTGCGCCCGCCCATCGTCACCGTCATTATCATTATCATCTATCACCGTTATTATCGCCGTTTACCGAGTGCGCGTTCGCGAACGCTCCCCGACCCCGACGACGCGACCGTTAAATGACGTCAAATAATACACGACGGCGCCGCGGTCCGCGCGATTGTTTCGTCAACTCCGATATATCGCGCGGGCGGACGACGGCGCGGAATCGGCGGACAGGAGGCGGTGGATACCGCGCTTCGTTTTTCTCCCGCCAGCCCATCTCGGTCTTTCTCTACCGCTGTTCCCGCAAATCGCGCTCTGTCACATCGGACTTGTAGTGTCGGTACGTCTCGACGCTCGGCGTAATTCCGAAAATATTCCGGCTTCCCGAATTCAACGACGTTCGTCACATCTGACCCCTCGCCTGCGCTAAGGGCTATCGCGTTTCTAACTGTCGGCCCGGCGGGATGCGTCTAGAACCCTACGGAGACACTGTATCTCGAATCCTCCGATTTCCAGAACATTCGCTTTCGTACGTGTCCGAGATTCCGTTCCGTACAACGCGGAATCATAATCGTAAACGTTTTCGTTGTTTACTGAATATCCTACTGTTGAAAATTCATTGGCACATAGAGTAATTTGTAGTTATTGTTTTTTTTTTTTTTTTTTTTTTTTTTTACTGCGCCACGGCCTTATACCACGTTTTGATCGCAAAACTATTTTTCCGGTTTCGTGACATGGGTGTGTGTCGTGCGTATACCGTACTTGACCCGACGACGACGACGCGTCGAATACGTCCGCGATAAAATTTCAGGCATTTTCCGTCATGACGCATGCGTTTATGTATACATATATGCGTACGACTTTCGCTCAAAAAGTAACGCGTGTCGGATTGTCGTATCGTATATATTATTATTATTATTTTTATACGGTGCATACCTGCCTGTACCCGCCTAACAACTTTCAATTCATATTATAATATACGCGCGCGGCGGCGTGAAACTTATATTTTTTTTTNATTTGTAGTTATTGTTTTTTTTTTTTTTTTTTTTTTTTTTTTTTTAGATTCCGAGTGAACTGAGAAATGTATTACTACACGTTTTTACCAGTTTTATTGCGTCGCGTTACGTGCTTTTTTTCACTCTATAAACAAGTTTTCTATCAAATCGCACGCTCCGATCACCAACTCCGGGAGCGGTTTCCATTGGCAAACGTTGTTGAAACTTCGGAACAACGCGGTTTCTATTAAAACGTAGTTTGTTTTTTTTTTTCTCGCGGTAATTCCGTGAAAATTTATCGCGGATAAAGTGGATTTTGGTTCGGTAAAAACATTGCACGCAAGGTTCGTCATATTAAGTTCGTCCTCTTATATGATGGTAATGTCTGTAATCGCGGCTGTTTCGTCGCGGCCGTTCGGACGGTGAGTTTTGGCGAACACCGTACAAATCAACAGTTCATTTCTCTATCACTATTTATTTCGCCCCCCCCCTTTTTTTTTTTTTTTTTTTAGCGCGAAAAGTTTTAATATTCTCTGAAGTGTCTCGAAAAAAAAAAAATATAATAATAATAATAATAATAATAAAAAATCATCGTGAAATCGATACACTCGACTACCTATACGCACAGGGTTCGCGTTCCCGAATAATAATATATTATTCAAAACGTATAGTATGTATATAGTACAATATTATGTGTACTTAGGTGAGAGAGATAAAGGAGACAAAGAGTGAGTGAGGCGTCTACATAAAAATAACATGCTGATTTTCGTTATGTCTCTTCCGAATTCGTCGCAAATCGGACGCGTGAGTACCTATATACATATATGTGTGTGTGTGTGTGTGTGTGTGTATAACTACGAGTATATGCGGCCCTTGTGGACAAAAGAAGAAAAATCTCGCACACGATGCGGATTGTAATCGCATCGCATATTATTATTGGTATACGGACGACAAACGCGGTGAAATCTCTCCGCGGCTAATATCTATTTGCGGTGTTATTATCGTCAGTTATATATACGCCACCGCGAGTATACGCAGTTTTGAAAAGAATATTTTACCCGTTCTCCACCTCCTCTCCCCCTCACCAACAGTATGTACGCGAGTATTCGAACATAAACGGATAAAAATCTATTCAGAATAGGTATATGCGCGTATTTGAATATGCCTACTTAAAAGAAGGGGGGAAAAACAGCATTCAAATAAATTCTTATTTCCTCGCCTCCTTTTTTCTCTTTTTCTTTTTCTTCTTAGTTCGGTAGTCACATTCTCTTCCGAAATACTCCCACCGACGCGCGACGGCGACGTGTGTTATATATATATATATATATATATACGCTTTGTGTTTATGATTTAAATCGTACTTCCGTTCGATATAGTATAAAAAAACAAAAAAAAAAAAAAAATAAAAAAATCCAATAGCCGCTAATGGGAGTGTGTCACTGTTTTAGGAGGAAAACTGGAAGAGTTTATTGAGTAATTAAATTTATGTACTCATCAATAACTCGTTAATGACCAAAAACAATTCCGAGTAGAGTATTTTTTTATTTTTATTATAGCTGTCCCAACCGACGTTGCACGTGTTAATTTTTTGTTTTTTTTTTTTTTTTTTTACCCGCTTTTCGGTTTCGACCGTGTCAGTATTGAATGAAAACAAATAGATGGAAATTGGAAGAAATCCATCCTTCGACGGACTAAAAGTGTTCTGTTGTAACATTTTTTCATGATTTTCATACTAAAAATATCTACACACCTATTTTTTTTTTTTTGGTGGGGGGGAGGGATGTATTGAGGAAGTGAAGCCGAACCTTAACTATCGGGGAGTGAGAACCGTATGATAGTCGTCGCTCGTCGACGGCACGGCGTTTTTTTATATTTTATGTGTGTATTTCGATGTTTTGTTGGTGACGTCATAACTCGAATTAGTATTCCGAATAAACCTACATTTTAGGTAGTCTTTTCAAAAGTTATCTTTTATACAAACCTTTCATTTATCATTACGGGTAACCTTGGTGATACGGATAAAATAAATGTAGTATTGAGATTCTCGTTCAAAAATACCATTCAAGTTTACAATTTTCCCAAGAGATTTTCCAAACATTTTCTATCGTGAAAACCTTGTCTTGGCAATTACGAACAGAACAAAACAAATCGGTGAAATCGGTCCATCCTTTTTCTAGTTATGGCGTTACCAACAAAATCGTATTCTATCTCTTGTTGTCTATGTAACCCAGAAATCAACAAAAATGATTCGAAAAATCGAAAATTTTCACCGTGTATTAATAATAAACGTATAAAGAAATTCAAACAACTGACTTCTTCAACGCACCAATACAGATTAAAAATTCTACAAAAAAATCTAAAATTTTTGATTGGAATAAGATTTCTGGCCAAAATAGTCGTTTATAAACACCAAAATAGAAATAAAAATTCACCATAGTAAAATCAATTAATATACTCCTCTGGCTTCAATCAGATTCTAAAAAACCGTTTTTACGGTATGAAATGTATACAACCATCGAATGTTTCCGTTTTAAATGAAATCAAGTTGCGTTTTTCGAATGTGTTTTTCATAGATGTATAAAAACGTTTGTTGTTGTTTTTGATTTTTTCATAAAATATTATTCTTGTTTAGAAAATAAAACGAATAAAAAATAATATTGTACACTGAAATAAGTAGGTATAGGTATGCAACTCTACTATTATAATACAAATAGTTCCTCCTAAACGCATAATCGACATTTCTTGAAACGGAAAAAAAAAAAATAAAAGATTTTCAATACCTACTTTTGTACGAATATCGAATACAATATAAACTTTACAACGCTAAGCCGTTTAGGTACCTATATGTGCATAGGTATGCTATACACTACAATATTATCTGATCAAATGATACAAAAATGAATAATAGATACATTTTGACTTAGTTAGGTAAAATATACAGTATAAACAGACTTTTGTATAAAAATATTGCCAGAGGTACCTCTGTTGCTCGTCTAAAATATTTATTGACAATCGCAATGTTATTATTACGGATAACGTACCTATACTACCTGCTTATACTTATAGATATGTGTTTTGAGTCCGGAATAAATAAAATCGTCTTGTCTGTAATAGATAAAATATGATATTATATTCTCAGTCTTCAAAAATTAAAATAAAAAACAAATAAAAAAAAAAAAAAAAATCGGTCGTAATTTCTTCTTCGACTTTTTGAACTCGAATAAAAATACCATAAAATGAGAGAAATAAAAAAAACATTGGGTGGAGGGGAGGGGGGTGGGTTAATTAACCGAAATAGAACTATATTAACATCAACAGAGGCAAAATGTATGGGATACAGGCCATTCAAAACTGGATTCTCGATTACATATTATCATCATATCGTAATGAGATATTTGTACTTACACCTAAAACAGTACGCAGTTTTGACGTGATCGCAACGCCATTTTATGAAAATTAAAAAAAAAAAAAACAAAAAACGCGCTCGCTAGAAATACGTTTATTTTACAACTTATGTACGACATAGTTGCGATAGAATTCGGTTATAAACAGACTTTACGTATCCAGCAGCGACGTGGTCACGGCTGAGTAAAAAAAAAAAAAAAAAAAAAATAAAGAGTTCGACCGTCGACCGCAGTATATTAAACGAGACGGCTAACTCCTATTGAACCTGTGTAATTTCACGGCAAATGGCCCGACTCCCTCCCCCCCCCCATCACGTAGCCTAAACTAACGGACTGATTGTTTTGAAATTTACACGGGTTGATCAGTACGTAACGTTGATGATACCTTTGTAAATAAGTTGATTGGACGATTACAGCCAGAGTAATAAGCAAAACGATTAGCATAGTTTTTACTCGAAACGCTATTTTTCTCAACAATTAAACAACGTGCGTTATATTTTGTACGCGTTGTTACCACCTGTTTGCAACGGTAAAAACAATTTTGTTGAATTTATTTTATTGCTGTGTTACTATAGTATCGTTAATTTTTTTAAAAAAAAAAAAAGGTAATTATATCCAAAATGATAATAAAACAATTAGTGATATCCCTACAAAAAACCCTCCGTCAACTACGCGCAAAATCTTCGATGAGAAAAAAATAAATACTCAAGTCAGAAAAGTTGTAACATCATAAAGGACGTTAAGTAATTTCTTAAATTCATTAATATAGAAATCGTTTATGCTTGTTTGTATTTAATGAAGTGCGATAACTTAATAAAAATAATTCAATTTAGCTTGGCGGCTACTCGTAGTAGGCGCATAAATAGTTTTACGGTGATATTAACAAATTATAAAATGGGAATTTAAATATCCATGTTGGCATTGTACCTTTATTTGTAGTCGGGAACATTAGTAGCCGCCAGGCTAAGTTAAATTATTTCTATTAAATTATCGCACTTCATCGAATACAAACAATTATAAACAATTTGTATACTAATACATTTTAGAAATTATTTGGCTCCGTTTTCATATTACAACTTTTCCGACTTGAGTTTTTTTTTTTTTTTTTTTCTTAGGCGAAGGTTTTTACCCGTAGTTGACGGAGGGTTT